AAAATACATTTCAAAACACCAAACTCACGCTGGCTGAACAAGCAAGAAGCTCTAAACCCCCACGCCTGTCCGGGAACTTCAGGAACGGCGGTGTGGGAGGAGTCTTGGGATCCAACGCAGAAAAATGCTGACATTCTTGCTGGTTGAGACACATCGGTGAAGTTTTCTGCTTTCTAGGAAACACCAACGTTTCTTGGAGAATTGAGTGTGTTTCAAGCGGTCGTTTGAGTTTTGATCGCTGAAGCACGCTGCTCAAGGGGTGATGCTTGCTCTTTAGTGTCCCTAGTGTTTCATCCAAACAGAAACATACCAGAAAGGTTCAAAACATTGCGCGGCCCTGCGCGCTCCAACGCATAGTAGCACAATGCAGGTTTTGGCGCTTGGTTTCACACCTTCTCAAATTGTTCGCTGTTTCTCTTGCTAAATGTGGAGCGAAACAAGCAAAAATGACATTCCCTGGCATAGTTACGTAGTTCCAAATTTTTCGTGACTCTGGATGTTGTTTTCGAAAAGCAAGAGGCTGCCATCAACAAACAACGTGGAAACTGGATCATGGTCATCGTGTGTTGAACATATCGACACAGCACAAAGCCAAAAGCAACAAGACTTGCAAAAATAATGTTGCGACGTGACATCAGCTTCCTAGAAGACCGGGGGCCAGAAAGTGTAGCAGAGCTGGGCGAGTGGAATCAGCAGTTTGCTGAATTTTTGCACCGTAACCAGCCGTATGCTGAAAAGTTCATGTGCAACATCAAGAGAGGCTTCTTGGTTTCTAGTGACTTCAGTGGTTTCGATGCTCCCCGGGAGTGCTTTCGAATTATGGCGCCAGCACTTGCTCAGGTGACAAAGCCACCGTATGTCCCAGCTGTGAGATTTCGTTCGATCTTGCGATTCAGGCAGCGCTCAGAAGCGCTGTCTCCACTTGCAAAGCCATTTGTTTGATTCTGCATTTTTTGGCATTTTGTTAGGCAGTGCGTGTCTTCTTTGCATTTTTGCTTTGGGTTGGTTTTGCTTTTTTCTTGCTTTTTTCAAAAATTTTTGAACCTAGAACAAGCACAAAAACGCAACATAAGGTAAAATAGGAAGAAAGTGCCTTAAACTGAGAGCCCGCGCGGCCCAGCCAAGGAAGGCTTCTCTTTCTGGCGGAAGCGCCACCGGAAGCGAGCGTGTTGGCGGTGTCACCCTGACCTGAGGTAGAAAAAACATGGTACGAAAATCATGATCCCAACAGCAAATCGTATGATTTACAAGCGGCGGTCTTCATATGTGGTGACGGCGGCAACCATGGTAGTAGCAGTAGTAGTAGTACCAAAAACAAAAAACACAGCAGTAGCAGCAGCAGCAGCAGGAGCAGTCGGAGTAGGAGTACACAGGAGTAGGGGTAGGAGTAGGAGGAGGAAGAGTAGTAGTAGTAGTAGTAGCAGTAGGTTCTAGTAGGTAGTAGATAGTAGGTAGCAGGTAAAAGGTAGCAGGTAGTAGTAGTAGTAGTAGTGGTGGTGGTGGTGGTGGTGGTGGTGGAGGTGGTAGTAGTAATAGTAGTAGTATTAGCAGAAGTAGTAGAAGTAGTAGTAGTAGTTGTAGTAGTACTAGTTGTAGTAGCAGCAGCAGCAGCAGTAGTAGTAGCAGTGGCAGCAGCAGCAGCAGGAGCAGCAGGAGAAGGAGCAGCAGCAGCAGGAGCAGCACCACCAGCAGCACCAGCAGCAGCACCAGCAGCAGCAGGAGCAGCAGGAGGAGCAGGAGGAGCAGGAGCAGGAGCAGCAGAAGGAGCAGGAGCAACAGCAGGAGCAGGAGGAGCAAGAGGAGCAAGAGCAGCAGCAGCAAATACATGATGCACGTAGTTAAGGAGGTCGTTCCAATGTCGTTTTGGACGTCGTCTGGAGGGTCGTTCCCCAACTAAATAACAATGTTTGTATGCGAGATGGTTTGAGAGCCGCTGGTACATTGACCACCCAAAACCAGTCATGTATGTCAGCTTCGAGCAACATATACACAACGTTCAAGTGGCCGCTCTCCGCGGCGTAGGTCAGGGCCGTGTCGCCATCTGGTGTTGCTGCCTCTTTGTCAGCTCCAACCTGGAGCAAAAAATTCACAACCCGCAAGTGGCCTCTCGCAGCTGCAGCCATCAAGGCGGTTCTCCCATCATCTGGATCTCTTGTGTTCTTGTCAGCTCGAGCCTCGAGCAACAACCGCACCATCTCCAAATGGCCCCGTCCAGGAGCGAAAATAATGTGGAAGTGGAGGAAAGTCACTGTCTGCATCGTTCTCCATTGGTAGGCAAGATCAGGGTGAGGTCACAGAGCCTGCTACTTTCGAGCGAACACTTGCACAACGAAACTGAGGCAAAGGGGGGCCTGGCACAGGTGTCACTGATGCTCTTCATAGCTCCACCCTCCTGTGCGTCGCTGAGGCCGGCACCAGCACCAGCAAGGTATATCATTTGTTTGTGCACCTGAAACAAGGTGAGCCCGCGGACCCAAAAGAGATTTTCACAGTGCCCCTGTCTGGGCCGCCCCGCGCGGCGGAGCGTAAGTATCGATGTCGTGACACCGTCAAACTCAGACACCGCGCCTCGGTCATTTGTTGCCATGTTGAATGGTCTTGGAAACCACCCAGTCAAGAGGTCGCTCAAGTTCATGACATCCTTGATATCGAGTGAGCCGAAGTAGCCTCTGCCCTTTGAACTCTTCCTCTAGTTCGTGCCCAAGGATAGACCAAAAGTCCAGGAGACACAAGGTGCAATCAGGGATGCCTCCATATCCAGTCAGAGCTCCTGCAGGCTGAGGGCCCGGCGCGTGGCAACTCCACAGGGACGCCATCGACCAAAAGGCTCCGGAAGTAGGCTTCGATCTCCGGCCTTACCGGGCAAAGTGGGTGAAGGACCGAACAGTGGTTGAGAGAAGGGACCTGGGAACCTGAGGATCCCCTCGCCAAGTTTCCGACTTTTGTGAAAAGCATTCCTCGAGTTCGACCCCCGCCGGCGCCAATCGGCATTAAGCGGTGCGATGAAGCCACCCTTGCTCGTATCGCTTCCCACCTTATCATTACATGGACATGTACATCAGTGGCGTCTTTTGGACGCCTCCGAGCGGGAGTTCCTGCTCGGATTCGGATTCGGACACACTAGCCTGTGCTGGGGGGCTTCCGCTGATAAGAACGATCTTCAGGGCTTTGAGATAAGAGGAAGAGTCTTTGGGGGGATTCGTTTAGCATGTTGTCCTTCGCTACAGTGTTGGCGTGTAGCCTACAGTGGGAGACTGACACCTTTTCTGTGGAACACCCAGTGGAACGTCTTGGTTTAGCCCCAGGGTTTTGTACTGGCTGGGCCGCCACGGCGCCGGTTGCCAGACGGTTGCAGTTTGGTTCAGGGAATTCTTCATTGACACCAGAGCACCCCCTCAAGGAGCTGAACAAGCTGTTCATACAGCGCACCAATCACACGGTCTCGCCCGCGTCAATCCTTCCCGTCTCCATGCAGGCCAGGCACAGCGGCGCCGGCGCCGGTCCACCCCAATGACGCGGGGTCGGGGAAGACGACCGCAATCCGTGCGAGCCCTGCCAGCAGGAATGGAACCTAGTACCAACGGCCTCCTGCCCTGGCAATGGCCTCCAACCTAGTAGCGATTGGCTCCAACCTAAATAGCAATGGCCTCCAAGGCAGGCGGGCAAGAACTCGAGCGCTCCATCCTGCCAGACTCGAGAGAAAAAGCGGGAAGAAAGGAGGGAAGGGAAGGGAAGGGAAGGGAAGGGAAGGTGTTTGCTAGTTTGGGGCTCTGTAAATCTAGGTTTTTCACAAAAACACATAGCTCAAAACTAGCAAAAAAAATTGATGTTGAAGGCTTTTTGTTAGATTTAGGCTATGCATCTTTTTGAAAAAATCATAAGTTATGATTCTGTTTTGGAACTATAACTTTTTCTGGAATCATAACTTCTTGGTAGCCAGCGCTGCCAGTTATGGTTCCTTCTTTTAATATAACTTTTTTGGAATGATAGCTGATGTTTTGCAATGGCAAGAAGCAAAAGACTTCAGCCTCCAAGTGAAAGGCCTTGCCTTTCAAACCTTCGTTGTTTGCGTGGTGTAGGGCAAGATGCTTGAGCGAAGCGTTTGTCACCCAACAAAGCCACGGAGCTGATGATAGACTGAAGGCAGAAGTCGTTAATCAAAGGAAAAAAAGAGACAAGCTGGCTCACAGACTCACAGATGGCCGTGCGCCATGCGCAGTTTGTTGAACCCAGGGTTTGCTTGATTGGTATGTTTGCATTTTCCTGCAAGTTCCTAGTATTTGTACAACGTTTCCTGAGTCCAAACTTCTGGATTCACCTTGCTGGTATCTTTCTGCGGGTTTGTAGGTGTTGTTTTTTGGCGCCTTTTCAAACAAAAATATATATATATATATATATAAATCTGTGTCAAACAAAACTTTTGACTATAAACCCTGACCTGTGAAATTCTACGCCTGGTAGTATGGGCTGACATGTATGTGTATCTATACAATTTTTGTATGCCTATTTTCTTGCAGCTGTACATATGGTGTTGGATCAAACAGATCTCTGTCAAGAAAGTATCGTGTTTTTGATGCGCCCTTTGATAGCCCAAATGCACTACATCACATTTCCAATTCAAAAGCAAGATCAAGCATCAAAACACAACCATTTCTCTATAAAATGATTCACAAACCCCTTGAGGGGTCTATTGCCTAAAACGTTTTATGAACATGTAACCCCCCTCCCCCAATTTTATAGTGGGTATTGCCACGGAGATCAAATTTGACACCAATTTAAGCATCCCCCTCTCCTTTGTCAATCTTCCACTCACCTAAAAAGTGGGAGGTCAGCTGAGAGTGGGAGGCCCCATGTTGCGTGTGCAGGACCCACTTCGCCTTTTAATCTCTTGTTCCTCTCTTTTAGGCCACGATCTTTCTTTGGCTCCGAGCGAATCGTCGGCCCAAGTCCCTTCCTTCGGGTCGAGTTCGGACCCTCGCAATAAACATGACGGCCGGGACGTGCCAGCTTCTTGCCCATCAGACGCGCCTCTGCAACGAGGAACGCTTAGAAAAAAGGCTCCGAGAAAAGCGCACGCATTCGGCTTCCAAGGTCTTCGAGCGAATTGCTGCTGCTTGGGTGGACGGGAGAACACAAACCGATGGACGCACCTGGACAGGAGGGTCCTGCGATTGATCCCGCAAAAACATGCCCATGGAAACGGGAGCCCTATGGCCCACGAAAGTTGCAATAAAACGCCTTCGTCAAGGAGACACGAAGTTCGACAAACACATGTGTTGTGTGGGTGTGGCCAGAGGCATTAGCTGGCGCTTTTCTTTGGGGGACCGGGATCATATTGAAGAAAACAAACAACCTGGGGAGTACCGCTTTTGCTGGCTGCACCAAGGTTTCGGCTGCTAGCAATGATGACTGTAATCCCTGTTGTTCTGGGAATTGGGAAACTCGGAGAAACGACCTGGTTCTTTGCATGGTCCGGTCATAGATGATCGAACGAACAATCACCCTGACAAGGAAAACGCATAGGATCCTGGCATCTTCCATCGCCTTGGCATGATGCTTCACTTAGGACCCTAAGTTCCCTAAGCAAGAAACATCCAGGAAACATCCGGAAGCAGCCGCAAAACCTCAACAAGTAGCGATGCCCTTGCTACCAGTAGCGATCTCCTTGCTACTAACCTCCAAATCCTTTCACCTCTCTTCGCCCAAAACACCTCCGTTTCCACGCCCCTGAACACCTCGTTCACCGTCCACCGTCGTCCCCACCTGCTCCTCCGTGGCGTGGGGCGCAAAGAGCTGCACGCGGCCATCGGAGCGCAAGGATCCCTCGGGAGAGCACGGAGCGGCTCGGTTTAAGACCTGAAGGTCTCGTCGGTCCCGTCTACTCCTAAGGTGGTGGGTCAAAACCCAGACCCATCCAGACCCCTACCTGGACCCTACAAGGGGTGTCTATCTATAGCCCCTTAGCTGTTAAGGGGTGTCCATTAACATCCATTAACCACCCCTTGAAGGCCCTGGTATGATCCCAAGTTGTTAGGTTCCTATACTCCTACCACACGTAGGACGTAGGCTCATAGCAACGGATGCATAGGAAGCGACGAACTCTCCGTCCGCAAGAGTGTAGCCCCTAATCCCAAGTATAGGTTGACCTCCCTAGCAAGTCTGTTCATCTTCGGTGATGGATTCGGACTCCAAACCCTTCCAGAGGTAACTGCGAGGATGCTCCACCAGCACCACCCAGTTTGGGTGGTTTTGGGATGGAAAATACATCTTCAGGGGGGTCTATTAACCACCCTTTGGGTGGCGCTGGTAGATTCTAGATTGCCTTTCTTTGGACCAAAACTCGGACTTCGGCCGTCTTCTCCGTGGCGCCCGCGACGCGAGAAATGGCGCCCCCCCACGGTGTTGGGGCCATCGCAAGAAATGGCTCACGAGGTTGCGAGGTCTTGATCACCCAACCATGTTGTTCTGAAACGGTGTCTTAAAACCTCCAAGTTGAGGCTCATGACTGGCCCTTCTCCCACCCATGACGGTCCGACTCAGCGGGGGATGAACAACAGGGTGCGGCACCCCTCTCAGAAAAAGGACCCGTGGACCATGGTTCTTGCTTCAACGGGCAACTCACATCATGGCGATGTGTTCGGCCAACTGTAAGTGGCCTTCCAACCGACGGAATGGAAGCACAGTGACATGGCTTGCCAGATGCATCGAAGAAAAACCTAACAACGGCTTCCTACCCAGTCTGGAGGCCAGAAACATCCAGATGAACCAGTCGCGAGCGGTATGACTCGCGGTATGAGTCGTGGCGATTGATCAGGCGTGGCGTTTCGTGGCGACTCCGGAAGACCACAACAGCCAAAGAGGCAACCGACACCGACCCAGTTTGGAGCTCTAAAAAAAACAACACGCCCCCCCATGTTCCATGACCATCCAAGAAGCATCCAACCTGGGTGGTGCCGGGGGACCTCTTCTTCTATTTTGGGATGCGATCCAAAAAAAGGGTCCCAGGCTCCCGGGCTGGTTGGGTCACTTGGGTCTTGCGATAACCGTCACCGGGGCGCCGGACCGTCCACCGGGGCGCGGTCAAGCCCATCAGCACCAAGCGCTGGCCCTTCTCCGTGTGTCGTTGTCGGAGCTCGGCATTGGGCGCCTGCAGGGCGGAGTGAAGGGTGCGACTGCGAGGTGGGTGGCGGTGAAGGGCGGGAGGGCCTGAGAAGAAAGGTGTCTAAGTTGAAGGAAAGAAGGCAAATATGTAATATGTCGGTCTTTTGCATGGTGTCAACGCATGTTCAGAGGCGAGCTGGGAGGGGTGTTAAGGGAGGGGAGGCTCTCTAGTCGCTGGTCGCATCGGTTTGGAGTAGCATGGTCCAGCACCAGCCCAGCCAAAGTGGTGGAACTCGAAACAGAATTGAAACAAGATGGAGCCCACGAACCCGAATGCAAACACGTTCGAAAAGCTACATATGTCCAAATGACACTCTTGTAGGACACTCTTGTGGGACACTCTTGTGGGACACTCTTGTGGGACACTCTAGTAGGAAACTCTTGTGGGACACTCCTGTGGGACACTCTAGTAGGAAACTCTTGTGGGACACTCTTGTGGGACACTCTTGTGGGACACTCTAGTAGGAAACTCTTGTGGGACACTCTTGTGGGACACTCTTGTGGGACACTCTAGTAGGAAACTCTTGTGGAACACTCTTGTGGGACACTCTAGTAGGAAACTCTTGTGGGACACTCTTGTGGGACACTCTTGTGGGACACTCTAGTAGGAAACTCTTGTGGGACACTCTAGTAGGAAACTCTTGTGGGACACTCTAGTAGGAAACTCTTGTGGGACACTCTTGTGGGACACTCTTGTGGGACACTCTTACGGGACACTCTTGTGGGTCACCCTTGTAGGAAACTCTTGTCTTACGGGACACTCTTGGGGGACACTCTTGTGCGTCACTCTTGTAGGAAACTCTTGTGGGACACTCTTGTGGGACACTCTAGTAGGAAACTCTTGTGGGACACTCTTGTGGGACACTCCCGTGGGACACTCTAGTAGGACACTCTTGTGGGACACTTTTGTGGGACACTCTTGTGGGACACTCTTGTGGGACACTCTTGTAGGACACTCTTGTGGGACACTTTTGTGGGACACTCTTGTAGGACACTCTTGTGGGACACTCTTGTGGAACACTCTTGTGGGACACTCTAGTAGGAAACTCTTGTGGGACACTCTTGTGGGACACTCTTGCAGGACACTTTTGTGGGACACTCTTGTGGGACACTCTTGTAGGAAACTCTTGTGGGACACTCTTGTAGGACACTCTTGTGGGACACTGTTGCGGGACACTCTTGTGGGACACTCTTAAGGGACACTCTTGTGGGACACTCCTGTGGGACACTCTTTTGGGACACTCTTGCGGGACACTCTTGTGGGACACTCTTGTGGGACACTCTTGCGGGACACTCTTGTGAGACACTCTTGCGGGACACTGTTGCGGGACACTCTTGTGGGACACTCCTGTGGGACACTCATTTTGGACACTCTTGCGGGACACTCTTGTGGGACACTCTTGTAGGACACTCTTGTGGGGCACTCTTGTGGGACACTCTTATAGGACACTCTTGTAGGAAACTCTTGTAGGAAACTCTTGGGGGACACTCTTGTGGGACACTCTTGTAGGCAACTCTTGTGGGATACTCTTGTGGGACACTCTTGTGGGACACTCTTGTAGGACACTCTTGTGGGACACTCCTGTAGGGCACACTCCTGTAGGGCACACTCTTCGTACGAGACTTCCTCCAAAAGTCACGCTGCGAGGCTGCAAGACGAGCGTTTTGTACGAGACTTCCTCCAAAAGTCACGCGTCAAGTCTCAAAAACGAGCGTTTTGTACGAGACTTCCTCCAAAAGTCACACGTCAAGTCTCCAAAACGAGCGTTTCGTACGAGACTTCCTCCAAAAGTCACATGTCAAGTCCCCAAAACGAGCGTTTCGTACGAGACTTCCTCAAAAACTCACACGTCAACGAACGTTTCGCACGAGGCTTCCTCCCACAACCTCCCGATTCCCTGCGCCTGCCACGAATCTTTCCGCGTCCACACGTCTAACGCGCACAAAGTACTGCACCTGCCACGAAATGTCACCTCCGTCACACCTCGCAACCTCACGAATCCTGCCACGAGAATCGCACTTCCACACCTCAAAAGCTGCACAAAGTCCTGGGCCTGCCACGAAAAATGACAATATCATCTCATGTGCGCTTCAAAAAAAAATTTGCACCACACCACACGTTTGGAATGATTTCGACCCGTTCTGAGCACACTCCCATCCACCAAAATCGGCACTTCAGCTGACACTTGTCACGAAAACAGAGCTTCGATGCCACACCCTGAAACGCAAATCCCAATGGCACGGCCACATCCAACACCCCAAAAACACGACTCTCCAAACGCTAATCCCAATGGAACTACGCAGCACTCTGCAGATCTCACAAAACGCTGCGCCTGCGCAGCGAAACGCATCACGTGTCTTGCGCCACATCCCATTTTCATGCAAATCACAATGGAATAGCGGCGCAAACTGACACGTGACACATCCATGAAAAGTAACTTGCAAAAGCTTCCCCCAATGGCAGCGCCTTAGCGACCTACTGCGGACGGTTGCGGACGGTTGCGGACGGTTGCGGACGGTTGCGAACATAGAAGCAACGGGTCGCGAACAAGGCTCTACCCCCAGACCCCCAAGAGTTAAACGAGAACCCTTCGCTACGCATTCGGGAAAAAACAGTAGAGAAATGGAAAAGGACACAAATCTTAGCAGCTACTGTTCAAGCTAATCTTGGTATTGTGGGGGGGCCCATCGCTCCTGCCAATCTATTGCCAAATTTTGCAGACACGTCTCTTTCAACCCAGTCACGATTATCGGTTGTCACAAATCACTCACGGCAGGCTACAGCCGCTACAGCCTGCATCAGCTGATTCAAATACCTGCATGTGGGAGTTGAACCACTCCCCCAAAAGACATGCGCCAGCACACATGACATCGCCCCCCCGTGTACGCAGGTGCCCGCTCCGCGGAAACCGCCCGCCCCGCGCGGGCACCGCCCCTCCGCACGGGCGCCTGCGAAGCGAGTTGCTTCAGGTCCAAAGGAATCCCCAAGCGGAATGATGCCGTGAGGTGCCTGGAAGGCAAGGCCGTCAAGCCGTCAAGGGTGGCTCCACATCTCTACCTGGTCTGCTGGTCTACTTAGGGTCTACTTTGAACCGTTGACTGGAGGCCCAAAACCAACCGCTGGGCGCCATTTATGGCAAACACGCCAAACGTGTTTCGACACCGAGGACCGTCGACCTGTTTGTATCTTTGTCATTCTTTTTCGTTGCCCCAGGCTCTTTTCGTCGGGCGTGCGTCCAAAAAGCGTCGCTGCAGCTGCTGTTTCAAGGCTAGATTGCTATTGCTTGTCATTCAATTGGCGGGACGTGTAGAAACACGCACGTCCCGCGTCTTCGGCCTTCCCCTTCCTTTCCGTTTCTTTCCCCAAAGAAGTCACCTCCAGCGCGCACCTCACGCGCACGCGGGTGACCAACTCGCTCACGTCGTCTCCCAAGGCGGGGAGGAGAGACAGCTCCTGGTGGCGCAGCGGCGTAGCGGCGGGTAAACCCGTGGCCGGTGTAGAAGCCAAGGCTGGGGAACCGAAGAGGCTGGCGAGTAGGGTGTAGAAGCCAGGAGGCTGGGGAAATATGGAGGGAATGCATGATCATGAATGATCTGATGCGTGAGGCACCATCTCGCCCAAAAAGGAACAGCTGCGCTATGCTACGCTCTCAATCCTTTTCTGGACTGGCCCGAGTTGGTTGATCCTTCGCCCCGCCCGCCCAACCGCGGGAATCGGGAACCGGCCTCCATCGCATCCGCGTGAACCATGGTGCTCTCCTCCCCAAGCGGGATGACCTCCTGAAGCAACAAGCGAAGAAGACGGTGAGACGCGAAGGAACACGGTGAGACCGAAACGGACGAAGAGGAAAAAGGTGGAGGATGGATGTAGGATGAGGATGGAGGTGATACCATGTTTTGTTCTTCGACATTCTTGGGTCATAAGGCATGGTGACTATTTTAACAACTGTTGGATGGAATAATGTTGATCTGCAGAACGCTCTGGACCCCCGAAACAAAGATCTCAAGGTGACATGACATACATGCCAATCGCAAATGCTGAGGATCGAATCGAGAGTTTCCGGCCGCGGCCAGTTGGGCCAGGGCCAGTTGGATGGGGTCAGAGGGTACCCCACACTACCCCACAAAGGTCTTGCGTTACCAGTACTTGGTAGATGGACTCGTGGACATTCACAAAGGCGGGGCTGATCTGCAGGGTGTGTCTCAATCAGGCGTCTTTCTCTGATGGTTGTGCGGAGCCTCATCTCCTCCCCACTCGTGACCCCCTCCTCTTCGTCATCCTCCTCTTGCGGCCAACGCACCACAGACCTGACAGACTGCAGTTGAGCCCGCATGTGTCTATTATATTCTGTGATTATAGAACCTGAGTGACCCTGTTTTGGAGGATCAAACTATATATCCAAAAATATTGCAAAATATTGCCTTTTCCATCCTTTTCCTATCAAAAAGGAGGTCAGGTCTGGGCTCTAGGTATGTACATCTCCTGGGCAAAGTGCTTCCCCCCAAGACTCCAAAGACTCCCGACCGGATGAAGACGATGGAGCGGAATTGGCCAACCAAATCCGCCGAAAAAAACGGTGCGGCGTTTGGATCGGGGGGCCGTCATGGGCCGTCATGAGCCGTCATGGGCCCTGGCTCCAACCGCCGGTAGCTTCTTGTTACAGTAGTAAGGCCAGGAGCGCCCCTGCTAGCGTCCGATCGCTCCGTTCGTAGCGATGTTCTTTGTTCCGTTCGTAGCTTCTTGTTACTAGTGATCCTTTGATTTGTATCCCAAGAGATCGCCAGGTCGCCACCATGCTGGTCGACCGTCCTACCCTCTCTTGGAGCTGGTGGATGGTGGGCATGAGGATGTCTTCCACCCAGGAATCACCAAGACTTGATTGGTCCGCAAAGTTTCAGAGCCCCGACTTCGGCTTAATCACCCTGGACATGCCATCCCGGCTGGAACATCGAAAGCACATCAACAAAAGATTCCTTTCATCTTGCTGGTGGACATTCTTGTGAGATATATATATATATACATGTCAATACATGCCCATGTCATTCTCTGTATTCCAACTGGACCACCGGATGATATAAGTGAACAGATCGTGTTCATTCCGCTCCATGCTCTCCGCCTGCGACACATCCATCCCCCCTTCGCCTCCCAAAGGGGTCTACAGGCACCAGCGACGAGTCCATTGGCACAAATGTTCAGGGCCAAGTCTCAGGGATCTCTCGGTGACAAAAGACCTACAGTAGTGAAAGATGTCAAGGCATCACGTGTTAAATAACCTTGGCAAGTGCAAACTGGATATGAAAAAAGTTGGACATGATTATGTTTGCTGTTTCGGAGGCTACTGGTGCATGCTCTGAGGCATGTGTAGCTTGCTTCGCAGCGCGTGACTCGACGCCTGCAGTGCTGAGACAGTTCTGCTCGACTCTTCTTCCAAAGGTAGCATTGGAAGAAACAAAAAGAACTTGTTGGTCGTCTTCAACTTGAATTCTGGGGAGCACACTGTTAAGCCATACTGTAGCGCTTTAGCCATGGTTCTAGTTCATCCTCATGAGTGGAACAGAGTTCTCTTTCTGCAATTCTGCATCTCTTCACTCATGCTCTCCGAGTAAGGTCGCCGGTGGCTGAAGCAAACGGCTTAGCACGGTGGCTGGAAGCAGGCTTGAGCAGGCGAAGATAGCCCCGCCACTATCACCGCCATGCACCGCCAATGTTTAAACTTGGAATTGAGTCAAGAAACTGTCGTGGCAAGTCTTACTCCTCCCCAGAAGCCACCGCACCGAACACATAACTTGTTGCAGTCCTACCCTTTTGGGGGGATCGATGTGTGTGTGTGTGTTCGAATCCCTTGGGCTACTTCTGATGGAAGAATGCTGCAGAGACTCAGATGAGCTTTCACCATTTGGATGAAGGTGTCCCAGCATGTCCCAGGTCAAACCAATCTTCGCAGCAATCTTCACCCAGGCCTTGCAGGGATTTGGGGAATGGCGGTGTTAAGAACATGGAAAATTTTCAGCAATTCCTTCGAACAGGCCCAGGCCCGTTGGAATCTTCCGGCAACCCTGTCGGCCAACTTGGCCAGAACCGTTTCGGCCAACGTCTGTTCGTTTCGGACTCAACCGAGCACCAGAGTCGAACCATCGCCGGCGCCAACATGGCTGTGGCTCGAAAAGGGCGCCATCCAACCTTGCTGGTCAATAGAAAAATCATGAAAAATCGACTCAAAGCTGTAGCTCCTGGAGTCCTGAACTTTGTTGCCACCAGTTTCTTCCCAGATGGGTGGCCATTGACCTTCAACCACCAGGGGTGCTTCAACCACCACCCCGCTCGGCGCCGAGCGGCTCGGCCTCACACGATCGCCCATGGTCCGTAGGACCGTGGAACCTCGGTCGACCGGAGACGGGGGCTTCGTTCACGGAGCGTCTGGGCACTGAAAGCAGGAGAGTTCCCTTGATCCAATTGGATTCTGGATTCTGCGACCCCCAGATCTTTCGGGTCGGGTGACGAGGGAAACGGAAGCGGTCGAAGACCCTCCGACCCGCGGGAAGAAAGACTTCCGGACGATCATCGAGGCAGATCGACGCCAAAAGCCAGAGCGAAAGCGGCCAGCGGTGTTCGGTCTCCGGTTCGAACGGAGCTGATTGGCGCCAATTCCAGCGGTTTCGGAAATCCGTTCGACTTGAAAAGAAGCGGCCAGGAGCTCTGCTCCTGCTCAAAAGAGGAAAGTCGACTTCTTCTGACTCAGTAGACTCAGTAGACCCAAAAGACGCCCCCAGACTTGGATCAACCGCATGTGATACATGTGCCATCATGCTTCTCAAAGGCATGCAAGGCTGCCCACGGATCGCATGAATTGTCGGATTCAAAATTTCGTTGCAAGGTTTCTGGGCGGCCAAATCAAGCGAAACTCTGAACAGAACATCTCTGGAGCCATTACAGTTTGCGGAAACATGTGGACACTCTTTTTAGCACTTGGAGGTATATCTCGCCTTCCGCGCTGCTGATTGACCTGTCAAATACACTTCACCCTCACCAGGCGCCACCCAGAGCCGTGCTCACCCTCCGCCGTCGTTTCGCTCCGCACCGGAGACGGCCAGCTGCCGCGCCACGTGACCAGCCCTGCCGACCGAGGCCGCGCTGGCGCCCCCGCGACGTTCCCCGGCCCTCCGAAGGCTAGGGGCGACCCTGGCCGCACGACGAACGGAGCAAGGAGCTAGTAACAAGAAGCTAGGGTGTCGAAAGGGGTCAAAAAAAGATGATTTTGGAGGGCTCCAGTCGGTCCAGTCAGTGTAAGACAGTAAGATAGCCAAAAGCAATCAACATCTGCAAGCTGAAACCTGCCGACTCGTGTCAAACCTTTGGGTTGCCTCACCGGCGCAAACCACTCATGCTCGTGCCCGCGCGCCTGTCGTCCCGGCATACTGTGTGGATGGCCATGGTGCTGCACATCAGCGCGGTAGTGGGACCCACCAAAAGAACTCGGCGAGGCTCGATCCGCATGCATGTGACAGGCTCGCTCTCTAGCATTTCGCGGATTCTAAAGGCGCAGTGGGACACCGTGCCATCCCACTTTGGCGTTGGTTTTCATTCCGCCTGCTTTCGACTCATTCGACTAGGACCCTGGATCCAGTGATGGAACTGCAAATGGAAAGTGCACTGACCTCAGTGACCTCACCATGCTGGGTCTCCCGGCGCCCCACACCACCCCCTGCAAAGCCAGCGAAGCCCACGAGAGAACGCCCTGACGAAACGTCGCCGTGCGGTGGCTGAACGTGCGGCCAAGGCGAAGGTTGGGTTCCTCATTTTGGTAGTCCCCCAATAGGTTTGACATGGTTTGACAATTTAGTGGATTGTGTACCATGTGTATAAGTACCATGTGTCATATACATATCTGTGAGGAGCTGAAAACGGCCCTCCAAGTCGATGTGATGAATCGACCCGTCATGGATGGTCGGATTGCCCGCTCCGGCCTCTCGACAAGGGATCTTCTGCCATGGCCGTCTGCGAAGCGCAAGCAGCTGGCAGTCTGCAGTCGCGTGGCATGGGGTCGAAACTGCACCTCCCGAGGTTCATCGGTTCATACTCCGGTAGTTCACATAAGAAACTGGCAACTCACAAGAAACCTTGTCCTCTCATCCGCTTGGATGGGGGCTTTCATTGCCAAACGAAATGCCCCGGGCAAGCTTCCATGACCAAGTTGCGAGTTGCGAAGCAGGTATATGACGAGGCTCACAGTGTGGTGCATGAGTGCGAAAAGGAGTGGCGTGACAAGAGCATGACTGACTAGATCGCTTGCCCCCCCCGGTCGACTGGATTGCCCAGAACACCCTCCTCCTTGGCCAAAGACTCCCCACAAAGATCTTAAAGTTCTTGCACAAAGATCACCAAAACCCCGCATCGGCCGAAACACCAAGAGATCTGAAAAGTCGAGGGCCCCACTGCTCAAAAGGATCGTCTGGCGGTGAATGTCCACCAACCCGCCCACCGACCCGGAGCTCGGAGTCGCCCGCCTGTCACACCGGCGGCCGGGAGGGAAACGAAACGGAACGCGGAAACCGAACTTTGAGCCGAGGAAACCTGCAGAAGCTGAGGACATCTCCTGCAGTTGGGTGTTTTCCCACCGAGGCGCTTCTTGATCCATTGAGAGGTGCTTGGGATTGGAGATGATGTGGAACTTGATATAACATCATGTAGCAGCAAACATGGCAAATTTTGCAAATTACATGATCCAAGAGAAACAGACACACATTTGCCTCCTCCCTTTCTGTGCTGCTGCGTCTTTTTGCTATCTTTTCATCCGCGTGAAGGTCAAATCGATCACGGAGGCCCCACAGATGCGGCAGATGTTGTTGTTGGGCGGGCCGCACTTCACCAGCTGCTCCCTGAAGGTCGTGTAACAGAAATAGCCTTCCTTGTACATGTACCGCAAGATCGTGGAGCAATTCGGCGAATCCCAGGGTCTGGGCAGCTCATCGCACCGCGTCTCCAGCGACACGGTCTTCACCTTGGAGAGCATGGCTCCAGCAGATTGAACCACCATGAGGTCGGCACCCTCTGCATCTATCTTCAAATACTCAACTTCGTGTCCATTGAGCCAAACTCTGATGACATAGTCCAAAGAAATGCATGGCACCAAGCGCTTGTCTCCGGCTGTGACACAGTCAGCTTTGTAGTCAAAAACATCCTTCATCGGGTGTTCAAAGCTATCAGGGATGCTGTTGGGGTCGACTGGTAAGATCGTGCTGCAACTATCTTCCTCGGGCACACTAAGCTCCACCATGCCCTTGCAACCCACGGCAAAGGGAAACACCATACCTCGTTTGCGGGCCATGTTTTCTTTCTCAGTGAAACACCTCTGGCCTATGCACCTACGCAGCTGTGTTGGTGAGAGAACATGGCATGAAAACTGAGAACGTTGGTCTCGGTCACAGAGCAAAGTACCCAACAAGAAGGTCGAAAAGAAACCGCTCGACCCAACGGGAGTCCGTTCACCCATTGGAACCCCACGGGGCCCCACCTCTCAGGTCCAAGACCTGCCAGTGACCTGCCCCCTTCCTTTTCGACTGCGACCGCCACTCCGACCTGGCCTCTCTCGTGCTGAAGCCCCAGAATGCGCCTCTTCCCTGTGCCCTCGGTGCCTTGTGTGATGGGCCGATACGCCGCCAGACGCTCCCCATATTTGTCCAACAAAGGCTCAAAGCCAATCACGAAATCCTTGGGGCCGAAATCGCCGTCCCACACCGCAAGGCCCCAGTTGTTCATGCCCACCTGAGCGGAGGGCGCACTCGTGTGGTTCGGAAGTTTGGCTCCACGCCGAGCCATAGGGGTTGATGCCCCTGGGTTTTTGTGGGGAAAGAGCACCGGATCGATGCCAGACATGGTGATCCCTAGAGCCTGAAAAGGAAGATGACATTGGAGCCTGTCACCCCTATCCAGCTGCCCTCCCATGCCCTTTTCCCCCCACCTCTATCCAGAAGCGTTCCGGTGGACTGGGCAAATGCGCCCAGTTCTTGTGGAAAGGCATCTGTGCCACTTGGACCTGTGCAAAGATGCCATCTTCTGTTTCGTACCACGCCTCATCTGAAATCCTGCTCCAGGCACTTTGGAAAGGAATGACAAGAAGCCAGAAGGGACAGCCCATGGCATTCGGAAAGGCTGCACTTTCTGAAAGGCTGCACCTGGTGTTGCTGAAAGATTTGCTGCCCTGTGGCCTCACCCACTGACAAAGAGCTGTCTAGGCTGTTTTTTAGAGACACAGGATGGCTCAAACAAAACAAGGGCCTCATGCAAGCAAGGAATTTGATGATCCGTCAACATTCAGCAGGCTGCGAAATCTTGCTGCCTTGCTCTTTTATCTGTTTCAATAGGGGTAAACCATGTTTCAAAAAAATCTGAGTTATGCAACATCTCAGATCTTAGATCATCTTAGGTCCATCAAACGAAAGTAGGCCACAGTGAGGAGGTTCTGTCCTTGGTATATCCTGCGCATCTCTCCAATGTTCTGATCCGATTCGAGTTGCCACTGCTTGAGCAACCAAGGTCTCACAGCAATTTCAGGTCTCACAGCTATGCTGAAGGCATCCATGCCAGCAACCTCCAACAGGTCAATAAAACGTGCGGAATGGATACTCAATGCTCCCCGTGCACTCGTCAATTTTGGATACCGAATACACTCTGACGAACACATCACATGGAAGTGGAAAGCCGCAACCCTTCCAAGGGACCATGTTCATCCATTTTCCACTTCCATGTTAATTAGAGAGTCAAAGTGTACAAGACCATACTATACCGGCAAAGGTGACACCTGGATGATTTGCCACCGCCAGTCGGCTCCACGAACTAGTTTGTGGGTGTGAAGCAATGGGATGGACAAATGTCTTCTTCCAGGCCCTCATCAACCCATGACACGACAGAATCTCATTGATCATGGAGGATGATTCCTTTTAGACCTTGATAAAGATGTGTTCTTCGCTTCTTGATCTTTCGGCCTCCATCAACCATCCTCCACGCTGTAAAGAATTGAGTCGTTGCGACGACTCAGCAAGGATACAACCCGTCCGAGAGCGTCCCGGAGCCGTCCGGAGTCGTTGCCACGCGACCCGCGTGACCCGCGGGATGAAGGAGCCTTCCTGAGTTCCAAAAGCTCCGTACTGCGATTGAAGATCCAGCTGGCACCGGATTCGCAGATCAACCATGGGATTCGCAGCTATCCAAGACACTTCATGGGATTCGCAGACTGTATATACCTACCTTGGGGTGGTTCAATAATGATATAATATATATATATATATATATCTTGATGCCCAGCATGAATGCCAGAAGCTCCACCATGGTCTTGCTCGCAGGGACAGCCATTTCGCTCGAGGAAAATGAGCGCGAGCTAGCCCGTCTGTTTCGGTAGGATCCGAACCCGTGGTTTCGATATTGGTAGCGGAGCCCCGAAGACCGGGGCTCCATAGGATAGGATTCCTTGGATAGATTAGCATGAATGCCATAAGCTCGTCGAACGAATCCACCGGCCTGCGAACGTTCAGTGGTGATACTGAGGACGCCAAAGAGTATAAACGTTGGCGGACATGGGTTACAAACAAGATCCTCACCCTCGGCGACAAGGTTCCCGACCATGCCAAAGGTGCTTATGTTTACACTCTACTTGCTGGAAAAGCTTTGGAATGTGTTGAGCACCTGGAGCAATCTGCGTATCAGAAAGCTGGAGGTGAAAAGATCATTTTCGAATTGCTGGATCAAAGATTCCCTCAAAAAGACCACTCTGACGAAATGTCGGAGGCCTTGACCGAGGTGTTCCAGTTGCGTGCCCGTGAAGGAGAATCACTGAAGGCGTGGGTTTCTCGTGCCACCGAGCTGTTTGATCGAGTAAAGAGGAAAGTCAATGTGGCTTTCCCAGAGGAGGCTCGTGGGTGGATCATCCTCCACCGTGCCGGGTTGACGGAAGAACAAAAAGCTGTCATCCTCTCTCGATCGCTCGGAGTGCTCAAGCGCGAGGAGATCGGCAGAGCTATGCGTTCCTGTTATCCGGAGTTGATCATCGGCAAGAAACGGGCGTCAGCTGCTATCGCCATCGTTGATGAGAAAGATGAACCTCCTACAACCTGGGATGAAGCCGATGCTACAATTGCTGATATGGAGCAATTTCTTGCAGAGCATCAACAGGAAGTCCCAGTTGATCCTGATGAGATCTTTGATGAGCAAGAAGTGGCAGAAGCACTCGCCGTGTCTTGGCGAGAACGTCGAAAGGAAATGGTGAACTTGAAGCGTGCCCGTAAATTCAACCATGCTGTTGATTCCAAGAGGAGCTTCAAGGTCGAGATCGAGGAGATGAAGCGTCGAACCCGCTGCAATCGCTGTGGACAGGTAGGTCATTGGGCCCGCGAGTGCAAACAGCCAAAAGGAAGTGGCAAGTCTGTGAAGGGTCCGCCTACCTCCTCCTCTTCTGGCTATGTTTCAGGTAAAGGAGGCGAAAGTGGCGCTGCCTTTGTGGAAGATTTCGTGGCCATGGTCGAGTCTCAAAGTTCTTGGCTCTCGTTGCAACTGTTGCGTGAGCGTCGGGAGGTACACAAGACAGTCAACACTGCACCTGTCTCCTCCCCTACGTGGAACATTGAGCAATTGTTGGTCAACTCCCCCGGATATGGTGTGCTGGACAGTGGTTGTGGTCGTTCCATTGTGGGCGTCTTGACATTGAAAGAGTTCGAACCACTGTGGCAAGCACGTGGCTGGACCATTCCAGTCCCCTTTGCCGAGACGAATCACTTCAAATTCGGCAATGGTCAGAAAGAGACGACCCAGCTGTCAGTCCGAGTTCCAGTACAACTTGGTGGCCGCCCAGGTACAATCAAAGCTGCCATTGTTCAGGGTTCCGCTCCATTGCTGATCTCACGAAACGCTCTGAGGACTTTGAAGGCCGTGATTGATTTTTCTGCCAGTGAGCTGATCATCTTCGACGAGCGTGTCAAGGTCCCCTTGTTGACAAACCAAGCGGGACAGTTCACAGTCGATCTTTTGGGTGAGCAAGATGTTGCTCTGGAACCTTTTGCAGAGGTCATGACCCTCCAGACCTCTCTCAAGCCTGATGAACATGCTCCACTGCCGGATGAACCAGTTGATCAGAGTTCATCCCACTCCGTTGAGCCTGCCTCACACTCTCAAGATCCTGCGTCAGGCTCGGAAGATTTGCATGTTTGGAAACGTGAAGATCATTTCCTTAGTCATGTTCCATCCCTAGGAAAGCAAGGCCCGCTGTGGAGCTCAATTCGTCGTAGAGTGGTTACTGACCTGGACACGAATACAATCTTGTTCGACGAATGCATCAAACCACAGGAAGGTAAGAGTAAATATAATCATACACTACCCAAGCATGTCATGCACATACGCACTGAATTTTGGTTCACGCCTCAGGAACTCAGCATGGCCGTTGAGACGCTACCTGTCCACCAGCTCCGTCAACTGGAGAGTCAGGTTCGATCGGCCAGCTGCTCTCGGATGTCATATCTAGAAGGCAAACCGTTCCTGGTAGCAGAAGTGTTTTCTCCACCTCGATGTGCTCCAATAGCAGAACAACTTGGGTTTGCCGCTCGTTCCTATGACCTGAAGACTGGGTATGATTTTCGACGGAAGTCAGATCGTGATCAAGTGTTTCTGGAACTGCAACAAACACCCCCGGAACTTTTGGTTCTTTGCCCACCATGTACTGATGAAGGAGGTTGGTTCAACCTCAACTCTCTGCACATGTCCACCGTCGAGCGTGCACATAGGATAGCCCAAAGTCGCATGTACATCAAGTTCTGTGTGCAACTGTACGAACAACAAGTCAGCCTAGGTAAGAAAGCTCTTATCGAGCATCCTCACGGCTCCAGGCTGTGGAACTATCCTGAGATTCGCAAGCTTTCGCAAAGCGGACACCTTTTGAAGTGTCACATGTGCCGTTTCGGACTGCACCTGCCCGGATCTGATAAATTGATCAGGAAGACCACCAGACTCTTAGTCAGTGATGAGACCATGTCATCACTAGCAAGAGAATGTCCCGGCCATCAGCATCCGAAACATCAGTGTCATCAAACCATTGCTGGCTCGGCTCCTGGGGTGGGATCGATTAGTACCTTCGCCGGAGTGTATACCCCCCAGTTTGTGAATGCTGTTTTGGAAACGATTCCTGCTTTTAAACAGTGTGCAGCCGCCAGTGTGGTTGAATGCGACCTCTCGTCGGAACCCGCATGTCAAGAGGTCCTCGTGTCAAAGGCAGATCTCGATGATGCACATGCTACGGATTCACAACTGCTTCAAGTGTTGGACAAGCTGCATCGCAATTTAGGACATCCTCCAGGTCACGACATGATCAGGATCCTCAAACATGCACAGGCCAGTGAACGTGCCATCGCCCTGGCACGAAAGCATGAATGTGATTTGTGCAAGAAACACATGCGACCACATGCTGCTCTCCCAGCCAAGACCAGTCGTGTTTCAGAGTTTAACCACACGGTAGGCATTGATGTGAAATTCTTGCCTGGTTGGAAAACAAATCAGAAGGTCAAAGCCCTGAATATTGTTTGCCATGGCAGCTGTTACCAGTTGGTTTTGCCATTCCATGAAACTGAAACGTCCTCCGTCATTCGAAAGCTGTTTGCAGAGAACTGGGTTCGGGTGTTTGGGCCACCACGTGTGATTCTGATCGATCAAGCCCAAACAAACATGGGTGAGGCCCTTCAGAATTTCCTAGATCTCCAAGGCACTGAAGTCAAGCAGATCCCAGGGGAAGCCCACTGGCAACTTGGTCGTACCGAAAACCACGGAGGTTGGTTTGCTAGAATCTTGTCAAAGGTGATTAGTGAACATTGCCCTGAAAATGTACTCCAGTGGAAAGAATGTGCGATCCATGCTCATGTGAAGAACAGTATGATTCAATACTATGGTCACACACCTCACCAACATGTTTTTGGTCAGAATCCACGAGTACCATCAGACCTGCTAGACGAGCCTCTGAGTGTCATACCGGCCACTGCCAGCCTCAGTGATGAGCAAATGGCCAAAGCACAGGCAATTCGTTCCTCGGCGCGAAGAGCTGTGATCGAGATGCAGGACAGCAACTCCTTGCGTCGAGCACTGTTCGCCAGACCTCGTATAGACCTGCAGTTCGCTCCAGGTGATCTAGTAGCTTATTGGAGAAATCAAAAGTTTCAAGCGGGTCAAGGTGTGGTTACGGGGGGAAAGTGGTTTGGTATCGCCGTAGTCATTGGCAGTATTGGTAGGAACTACATTGTTGCTCATCGTCGGCAAGTCTTCCGAGTTGCACCAGAACAAATGCGTCCTGCCACCTCCGAAGAAAAAGCCACTGTACTGACTCCTCAAGCCGAACTGTTGGGAATCAAAGACCTTATTGAAGGGGGCACATTCCGGAGTCACAACTTCATTGATCTTGTTCCTGGACATTATCCTCCTAGTCAACCAAGTCTTGATCCTCCAGATGCTAACATGCCTGGTCAAGAGCCGAACAGTGCTGAGATTCCTCAGATTCTGCCAGAGAATCCGAGTCGCACGGATAGCCTTGACAAGCCGACTACTCCAGAACCACCTGTTGCTGCAGAGACAAAGACTGATACTGTGCCTGATGAAGGAAACCATCCGTTAATCTCGGATGAAGACCGTCCTGATAAGTCTTGGCTTGAACCCTCATATGGTCCTGTTCGTACCAAGCATAGGTTGGATTGCAAAAGTCAGCCGTCACATTTGTATCGTCCTCCTCAAATGAGTCAAGATGACTTTGTTGAAATCATGAGAGAAGTAGTCCCTCAGCTGATCGAACAAACAGTTCACCCGTCATCATCGGAAGCCAGTAGTGCTAGTGGAGTCAAACGGTCTGCTGACTCGCCACCATCCCCTACGTCAGAGCCTCCCGCACAAAAGCCCAGAATCGATGAACACTTGCTAGTGGAGTCCGGCACATGTCAAGAAGTGCTGTCTGTGCAAGACTGCCACGAACTGTGTCATGTATGGCAAACTTCTCAAAACATCGAAGTGCTTGTCGCTGCATATCTCCAAAAGCGAGCTGCGAAAGAGATCTCAGCTTCCGGTAATGAGCCAATACTACAAGAACTTGTGGATGAATCTAAATTGGTTGAGTGGAATACATTGTTAGAAAAACGAGCAATTCGTGTGCATACCGGGAAGCATGCTCAATGGTTGAAAGAAAATCGTGCAGATCGTTTCATGGGAAGCCGATTCGTGATTGTTCGTAAACCCCTTGAAGAGAACCTTCATCTGAATGTGAATGACCCTGCCACATACCGAGTCAAAAGCCGATGGTGTTTGCAAGGTCACCTCGACCCAGATTTAGACACCAAATTGCATGAGGGCCTCTTACAAAGTCCTACCCTCAGTCAGATTGGCAGAATGATTCTCATGCAACTGATCTCATCCTTCCAATGGGATTTGCAGCTAGGGGATATAAAGGGGGCATTCCTAGAGGCAGGACCCCTTCCTGAACGTTTTCGTCCGCTGTATGCCCGGCTGCCGGCTGGCGGCATACCGTCCGTTCCGGATGATGCTGTATTGGAGATTACCGGAAATGTCTACGGACAGAACGACGCCCCGGCGGCGTGGCACAAGGCGTTCGATGCTGCTGCAATTGAATTTGGTTGGGAACGCTCACTGTTCGACGCCTGCTTGTATTTTCTCCGTGATACTTCAGGCAAGCTCTGTGGTGCCATGGGCGTTCATGTGGACGACACAGCCCTAGGAGGCCATGGTCCTTACTTTGAGGAAACCGTGAAAAGGTTAAAAGAGCGATTTCCGTACCGGAAATGGCGAGTCCAATCTGGAGAGTTCTGTGGCGCCTTTTATACCCAAGACCCACAGTCCAAGAGCATTTCGATGTCTCAACAGACCTTTGCAGAGAACATTCGACCAGCTCACATAGCAAAAGGGGCCAACAATGAACAAGGTCTTCAGGATTCGCAAGTCAGGGTTCTTAGGGCCATAAACGGTAGCCTCAATTGGATAGCCTCTCAATCCCGTCCAGATCTAGCGGTTCAAACAAGTTTGAGTCAACAAGCCTTTCCGCATCCCCAGATCCGTCATCTGCGAGAGGTAAACAATGCAGTCCGTAGAGCCAAACAACATAAAGATGTGAAGATACAGTTTCGAGCGATTCCACCTGAGAACTTACGCCTGTGTTGCCACTCAGATGCAGCTTTTGCAAATGTTGGCTCTCATACTCAGGCAGGGTATGTTATTGCCTTTGTAGACCAAAAGCTGGATAAGGGAGAAGTCAGTCCTTGGACTCCAATGACCTGGAAAAGTTACAAACTTCCAAGAGCAGTCTCTTCAACCCTGGCTGGCGAGAGTCAAGCACTTTCTACTGCCACCGGAACGGTGGAATGGGCCTGTCTGATTTTGAGTGAAGCCCTCGATGGAAAGTTTGAGCCTCGTTTGTCCCGACAGCGATTAGGACTAAGGCCGCCCATTCTAGCAACAGATTGTAAGTCATTGTACGATCACCTGACCTCCCCATCATCCCCGACAGCAGTGGATGATAGACGTACAAGCATTGACATCGTAATCATCAGGGAATCCATAAAAGCCACTCATGCATCCATTCGTTGGCTCCCAACGAATAGAATGCTAGCTGATGCACTCACCAAAGATAAGATGGATCCAGTAGACTTACTCCGTTCCTGCCTACGTAGTGCTACCTACCAGATTTCTCCTGAAGAACATGTGTTAGCACAACAGGCTAAAGAACGAGAGCTTCGATTGCTAAGACGGAATCAGTCCACCAAGGAAAAGAAGCCGCTTCGTGAGCAAGCTGATTCTATCGAGAATTTAGAATGCTGATCACTTGAGAAGTAATAGTAAAAGAAATGTTTTTGAGATTTTCTCTGAAGGGGTAACATTCTTTGGAACTATTCGAATCAAGTGTCTTAGATGCATGGTTTTGCCAGCTGCCGAGAGCCGACCGATTTTGTTTCAATCATGAGCATAGAAATTGATTCTTGGAAACAGCATCCTTTTGTGTTCAAGTGGTCATCGCTTCACTGACCTTCGGCCGATCGATATGTCCTGGACTCAGGAAGAAGCAAATCAGCTTCGTGCCTTGTTTCGCAAGGCCATGCAACATGGCATCGAGCCGGTGGAAGCCTTGGGAGGTTTTCCCCATGTGGATGATTTTGAGTTGGTGGGCACCATGTCGGATGCCGCAAAGCGCCAATCCGATGGTCAATATCCAGTTCACTCGAAAGCCAACCGCAAGCTGCCGATGCCCATGCCCTCAACCAGTGAAGAGGTTGAAAAGCAGGATGGTTGCTATGCCACGAGTGCAACAAATTTGCCGTATCCCTCGTCTTCCGAGGCGCCACTGCCAAATTCGAGTCTCCCTCCTTTTCCTCCAGGAGTGATCAATACAGAGCAGTGGGGCCGATCGATCATCAACTTCGGCAAATACAAAGGAAAGAACATCTCATACATCGAGCTCCTTTCCTCCACCAGTGAGGACATGCGTAGTTATGTGAAATGGTGTTCTTCTCGACAGAGCACTGCAGGTGGTGAATTGAAAGACCTCACCTCTTTCATGCGCCGCTACGAAATGGAAAATTCTCACAGTGCCCTGATTCGTGGAGAGTTGATTCCAGGAACGACGGCCCGACGAAGTTTCAAGTGAGCTTTTGATGGCCCTATGCTCGGTGGGAGTATGCTGAAGTGGAAACCTCAAGTTTCTTGAAGATTTAAGTTTGGAGATTATAAGGAATCTTGATGCCCAGCATGAATGCCAGAAGCTCCACCATGGTCTTGCTCGCAGGGACAGCCATTTCGCTCGAGGAAAATGAGCGCGAGCTAGCCCGTCTGTTTCGGTAGGATCCGAACCCGTGGTTTCGATATATATATAATCGCTATCAACTTCCATCCATCGCTGCACCCCGGCCACCGGCAGACGGCGCCTCTCCTTTTTCACCGCCCAGGCGGGCGCGGGCCGCCCCATGTCCGCTCCTGGCGCTTCCGAAACTCCATGAAGGCATCGCCTCGGGGGGATGGATCTCGTCCGCGCGGCCATCGGCCCATCCGTTGGGTCTACCAAGCAAGTCGAGAAAGTGTTAAGGTGGGAAAACGACTGAGTGACTGTTTGATCGATTCTGGACTACAGGAAAGAAGTCACAGGACTTCCTTAAGGTTTAAACATGTTTGGACTTATGGACGAGGATTTCCTCCGATATGACCATAATTACCATGAAATCTCCAGTCCGCCTACCCACTAAATCCAGTTCCCATCGGTTTTTACTTGTGTTGCCAATCACTAGAGTAGTGGCAACCACCGGCCTGGCTCCTTTGATCTCTCTAGAACCCCGCTGTCAGGCTGTCAGGCCTAGGCCCACACATCTTACACCTTTGCATCCCAACATCCTCCATCGACCCATCACGGCGTTTCCGTTCACCGCTTTTGGAAACGGCTCACCCATCCGACCCGGCCGCGGCGTCCGAACAACGCCCCCCGTCCCGGTCTCCCTGGGGTGGCCGGGTCGAGCCTCCGTTCCTGGGGACCCCTGGCGCGTGGAACCTTCCAGTGCCAACTGGACGCCATTGGCCCTGGGCGACGAGACGCCAATGGCCAGGCCCGGTGAATCCATGTTGGGGGCCTGTCTCCGTGGGGGCCCGGTGGGAGCCCCGTTCGTAGCTTCTGGTTCCTATGGTAGTATGGCCAGGAGCCCCTAGTAGTAGCAACCTTGCTCCTATAGTAATGTGTCAGGTGGAGCTGGGGAGACACAAAGGATAGACGGACACTCATTTTGGGAGGTGAAGGCTTCTTCACGTGGCAATGATCTCCCATTGGCAGCGTAGTTCCCAGACTAGAAGAAAGGCAACATTCATCGTGAAAGCAAGTATGCAAGATCCAACATGTTATATATCAAATTCGATCAGTAAGAATGAAGGAGTCCACAGTGAAACACAACCATTGGCACACATGACTTCACATGACCCAGGGGTAGGAGACCACTCAAAAGAATACAGGCCTGACTCCATCTTGCTCTTCAAAGGCTTTGATACATTCGCCTTAGAGCAAACCGCAAGGCTCCGCTCTCGACCCGCAAACCGATGTCATCCTGTCCCCCCGGAACACGTCTTTCCTGGTCTTTTGTCAAGAAAGAGCACTGTGTCACATGGCGCCAGGTCCTTTCCATCTCCAAGTCCCAAGACTAGGATCACCCATCGAAGCCTGAATCATTCATCTTCGTTCTTCGTGGAGCTCCCTCTTTTCCCCCCCCCGTCGGCCGAATCCTGCCACCCAAATCTCAACATCTCCGACGGCCGAAGAAGGCCCAACAGCAACCCAAGAGGTGGTTGTTTGACAGAACCAAAACGCTTGGCACTCCAAGACCGATGAGATTTCATGAGATGTTTCACCTCGTCACCTGAGACGCAAACGCAGCTACCACCGGCCAGCCTGGCCAGCTACGACTTTCCAATAGAGGAATCACTGAGATTCCGGAGCCCAACCATTGAATTTAAACAATCCATAAGTCTACATACTACAAAACCATCCAGGACTGGAGATGTTGCAAACCCCTCTGTATACCAGCACCTTCAAAAAGGGTCACCAATAGAAGCCCCAGCCCACTACTTAGGGATCTCCATTCAACACCCCCTTTTTACCGGCCAGGTCTTCAAGTTCGACCGCCCAGTCCGGGCGCTCCGGGCCGGTGGAAGCGAACTCGACCATGGCCTGACGGCGGAGGTTCTTGCGGGTCTTCAGGCCGGGGGCACATGTATTTAGGGTCATTGGTGGCCAACAAAAAGGTGCCTATTGCCACCACCTGGCAGGTCTCAGTCAGAAAAAAGGCGGCAGGCAGGCAGGCAGGCAGGCAGGCAGGATGCTTACAGGTACATTTAAAACAAAAACAAAAGCGGTGCTCCATCAATCTTCAGAGCGACTGCCCTTGCCGTCGTGGAGAGGAACAACTCATTGGAGTGCTGACCTCGCTTGGGTTAGGAGTTCGGATGAACTGTAGTGCCACTGATTGACACAACAAAGACTGAAGCAGCCAACTCTGACGAAGAAGGAGAAGAAGAACAAGAACAAGAACGACAAAAACAGCCACCAGCCAACAGCGAACAACTGCAATCCAGTCTTCGACAAGAACAACAGGAGCAGCAGCATCCACAACGCACAGGCACAGGCACAACCACCAAATTCCAAACGCTCCACATCCAGTCACCGAAGCCCGTGGCTCCCTCGGCCACTGACCCTCGGCCGGCGCCACTGACCCTCTATGGCCCCGGTGTCCATCCTGCCTCACCCTCCAGGTCCCGTATGCGCGCCTCGGACACTCACGCCCGGAACGGCCATGCCATGAGTCCAGGCGGACCAGTCGTCCGTGGTGGAGTTCCACTCCACGTCACCCATGGTGAGTGGACGCGGTCCGTGTGCCCTTGTTGCGTTGATCTGACCCTTACAGGTAGTGGGTGTTCAATAGTTTCCAAGTTTTTCGGACTCCGACTATGCGAAACTGGCTCAGAAGCCAGTATCAAAAGTCCGCCGAAAAGGGTACAGAAATTCGGAGCCGTGCATGTTCTGTGCCCTTCACCTGCGGGCCCATTCGATGTTCTTCGAATAGCCGCCCTGCATCTGTTACATTGTATTTGAATAGAAAGACACCCAGGCCCTGGTTGGGTAGCCTGGTCTACTGAATCTACTTCCCAAACTCAGCCCAGGGGGGTCGGGGGTCGGTCTCCCGAGTGTTGCTTCCCACGTCCACATCGAATAGATTCATGGAAGCTGAAGACATATTAGGGGAAACCCCCCTTTTTTCTATGGTCCATATGGCTGGAGGCCACTAGTGGAAAGAAGGTTGGTTGGAGGCCACCAGTGGAAAGAAGCGACCGCAGTCACTCCCTTCGGATCCGAAGATCCGACCCGACCCGACCGGGGATCGGTGCGAGGTCGATGAGACGTGTTGTCATCTGCGGTGGTCAAACCATCTACAGTCACTTCCATCTACAGTAGTGTGGGTGTAATCTACTACTCCATAGTCGTAACCTGATCAAACATGGAATTTGCTTGTCTTCCGGCCAACATGGTCGAAGGGTGGGGGTTCTACACTTCCATACTTAGTGAATCCGATGAGAATCCTGTAGCTGTCAGTGGTCAGGGTTACCAGCAGCATCAGGAACCAACCAAAATCACTACAGCTGCATTCACGAGCGGTGGGTTTTTGCAGGTCGCAAACTGGTCGTTCGCACCAGAGAAGGTCAGATTCACGCTTCGTTCTCTGGCGTGAATCTGGAGGCGGAGATGGGCCGGATGATACCATCCCACCATATCTCACCCCACAAGAGCAAAGTTAAAGCCTGCAATGGTTTCAGAGTAGATGGCACAATGCCCAAAAGGTGGTTGATGTGGAGCCCGATATGAAAGACATCTCAGGATTTTGCGCTATCTACTCTGAAACCACTGTACTTTCTTGGACAACGGTCTTCACCAACGGAGCCCTTCCATCCCCATACTTCATCCCCCAAACCTTCGGAGAATCGCCCAGTGTCCTAAACAAATCGGACACGCTGCACTACCGGGCGCCCTGACCAGGCTGTACTTGCCAAAGATTTTGAACACATCCGACCTCGGTCAGCTGGGGGAGCTGAGTAGCTGAGCAGTTTGGAGCTTGCTGCACAGCAGTCACGAGTTGCAGCCAAGATCAGTCACTGGCAGCAGTTGCACGCGTTCACCCCACTCGCAGCGTGGGCGAACACACCCCCATTGCTGGGCACTAGCTGGAGAGGCTCGTGGGTTGCGAAGGGCTGGTGCTTGACCCACTCTTGTGGAAGAATGATAATCTGATACACTCCCAGAAACCAACATGTGTCCTGAGAATGGCAACCCAGTGCCTTTTTGCCACAGACCGTGACCCCGATCGCCGCAGAGGTAAAATGGCAAATATCCCAGACACTCCATGATTTACCTACATTGGGGTGGTGCCAGGGGGGTCAATGGGGCGGCATATATGGCAGTCCCATGGAGTGTCTGGGTATATTGGGCATCAGTCGAACCACCAGTGATTTAATAGCCTGCTCCGAACACCCCAATTCGCGGACAACACCCCAGTTCGCGGACATACCCCAGGCTCGATCTCCATCATCGAGATCTCTGCATCGCACCACGGGCAACGACCCTCTACAAGTCCCAGACCCATGGCCAGATTAGGTTCGTTAATTCACTCAGCTGCTTTATACTCAATTCACTGGAGCTTTCAATGTCTTTTACAATTCAGTCTTGCATTCCTTTCTGGCACTCTGTGATATCTCATGTGTTTTAATCACATCATATGTCCACATGCTGTGTCATTTTCACACATGCTGTGAAAACCCCGCTACAACAGTGGAAGGGTCCGTGAGAAGCGCGTACACGTCCGCAAGTGAGAGACCGAACAAACATTGTATTTACTAAAGGTCTTACATTACAACATCAGATCAACCATCTTTAAGATGGTCTTGGACTTCCAGGGTATATATATATATATTAGTTTCTTACATATAGAGTTAGTTTTATATATTATATGTATGGAGGTTGCGGCTTGCAGCACCTTCAACCCCCCGCTCTCAAACAGCACCTCCCCACAAGGGCGTCCGACGTGTCCAGCCGCCGCCCCGGCGCCACGTTCCGGACGTGCAAGAACACCTCCTGGGGTGGCTCCTGGAAACAAGCGGCGTGCTCAGAGGCGGTGTGGGCCAAAAGAAAAGAAACGCCAGGTTGAGTGGCATGGAAGTGGAGGCCACGTGTTTGGTGTTCGGATTTCATGGTCATACGAGTCTTCGGGGCCATCCCATCCACTTCCATGGGGGTCAGTCAGCTGACAGTGTCAATCACTTTCCAGCACAGTTCCATGGTCCGCATGCCACATGCCACCTGCTCTTCCAGCGACTCCAAAAAGCAGCGATGCAGTGAATGCAAAGCAGGAACATCGACGGTGGGTCGCCTTGGTCGCCTCCATTTGCCTGTTGATCCATCAACGTTTCATAGTTGGGAAGATGTTGGTTCCGAATCTCTACAAGAGATTCTTCAAGAGAGGCTCTTTCATCCAGAGAGGTTCTTGGGTTCTGACTCTCTTGGGTTCTCAGTCTCGCAACTCATCGCACCCGCGGCCTTCTCAGCCTTCACCGCCGCACCTGCGGCGTGCACTTTGCGTGGGTGGTGAGGAGCCGAGCCCGGCATCTAGCCCGGGCTCGAGGGGGAAATAGGGATGGATCACTACAGGGGTGAAGTGAAGTTGAAAGCAATTGCTTGAAAAAGATAAGTTTAGACCTGTTCTTAAGGGTGAGCTACTTTGGAATCACCACCGAATGCTCTCTACTTTGGAATCACCATGGCGCTGTTAGCAGGACCAGGAGCGCTCCAGACCCGTCGAACCAGAGGACGTCAGACGGGCGAAAGTGATGGTTTTGAAGGAAAGCGTTTGGACGGTGCTTGGAGAATGTGGATTCTCGTCATCAAGGAACAAGGAACACCTGCAGAGTAGAGTCCAGACCATAGTTACTTGTAGTTGGCGAACACTCTTGGACAAGCAGAGACCCTTGTTTGGGAGACCCTGGTCCATATCTTCAACCTACCTGCCTTTGTGAGAAGAGCGTCCTCCCATCTGATCCAGTCTCCCCTTGTGCGTCTTTGTTCCTCGACTTGTACCTTCAGAGTGTGCTCAAGACCAGACTTCCGCAAGCAAGGCGTCTCAGACTCTTGGGCAGAGTCACCTTCTCCAAACTCGAGTTCTTCAGTTTCTTGCCCAATGTGAGATCCTCAAGGCCCTCAGGTAGAGCAACTCTCTGCAAACTTTCACTGAACCGATCCCCAAAAGTTAAACTCTTCAGGCCTCTGGGCAAGGTCACTCGCACCAAGCTCTGGTTGAAGTTTTGGCCAAACACTAAATTCTGAAGACCATCAGGTAGAGCAACTCTCTCCAGACTGTGATTGAAGGACTCGCCAAATGTTAAACTGTTCAGGCCACTAGGCAAAGCTACTTGCTCCAAACTCTGGTTGAAGTTGCTGCCAAACCTCAGGTTCAGAAGGTGTTGAGGTAGAGCAGCTCTCTCCAGACTGTGATTGAAGGACTCGCCAAATGTTAAACTGTTCAGGCCACTGGGCAAAGCTACGTGTTCCAAACTCTGATTAAATTTGCCACAGAACACCAGATTGCACAGCCTGTGAGGCAAAGCCACATCATCCAGACTGCGGTTGAACTCGAAGCCAAGTGTCAAACTCTGTAGACCATTTGGAAAGTACACGCCCTCCAAGTCAAGGTGAAATCTGCTTCCATAGGTCAGACTCTCCAAGTTTGGAGGCCAAGCGACTGCCTGTAAAGGCTGATTAAATCGACCCCCAAGCTTTAGGTGCTTGAGACTTTTGGGCAAGGCCACTCGATCCAAACTCTGGTCGAATCGATGGCCGAAGTTTAGACTCTGCAGTGGAGGGAAGGTCACTCCCTCCAAGGGTTCATTGAAATGGTACCCGAACGTAAGACTCTGCAGGCTCTGAGGGAGGAAAATGCCCCTCAAGGTCTGCTCAAAGTTGATGCCAAAGGTGAGATTCTGAAGGTTCTGAGGGTATTGAATGCTCTTCAGGCTTTGGTTGAATCGGCCGCCAAGTTTGAGACTCTCTAGACTGTTCGGAAATGCCACATGCCCCATGTTCTGATTAAAACCGACACCAAGCGTCAGACACAGAAGGCTGTCAGGCAAAGCAACTCTCTCCATACTCTGGTTGAATAAGTCACCAAATGTAAGACTCTGCAGGCTGTGAGGAAAAATAACCTCGTCCAAACTTTGGTTGAACGCGTCGCCCAACACCAGATGCTGAAGACTCCCGGGCAAAGTCACTCGCTCCAAACTTTGGTTGAATTGCTGGCCGAGAGTCAGAGTCTGAAGGCCATTAGGAAAGATCACTCCCTCCAAACTCTGGTTGAAATTCTGCCCAAAGCTTAGACTCTGAAGGCTGTTCGGCAAACGGAACCCATTCGTCAAACTCTGGTTGTATTCCTCCCCAAACACCAAGTGTTGAAGGTGGCTAGGCCAAGTCATTGCCGCCAAGCTTTGGTTAAAGCATTGGCCAAAAATAAGTTCCTGAAGACTGTCGGGCAAAATCACTCGGTCCATCTGTCCATTGAAGGGCTTTCCAAAGGTCAAGCTCTTAAGGCCGCTGGGAAAAGCCACATGATACAAGTGATTGTAGTTGAGATCGTTTCCCAACACCAGTTTTCGAAGGCTCCTGGGAAGCTCTCGCAGCGGAGTTCCCAATTCGACGCCTTCCAAGTGCGTCATACCCTCTGCGCCGCCACAATCATCGTCATCATCGCACACTTCCTGCACTCCATGCATCAATTTCCAGGCGGCTGGCCAGTTGGCAGGCGTGTAGACATAGGACAGGCGAAGGGATTCCCCATCAAGAACTTGTTTTTTCAGGGTCTTATTCAAAGAAAGCATCTTGGATCCCATCTGCAAGACCACTCGGGCGCCAGCCTTGGGTTCCAAGCGATCGCTGACAATGCTTCGGAAGTGCCGACCCGTCAACGAATCCGGCACGTGGACTCGCAGCCCTGCTCCCGTCAAGCCAACCACCTCCACCTCAACCACCTCAACCATGACGGGCGGTGGGCGCATGTGGGAGCCAGGGATCACGGTCGGCGGCGGCCCACTTTGTAGATGGTATTGAACGGAAACATTGCTATGGATTTGCTATTAGGTTGGAGGCCATTGCTACTAGATGGTATTGCAGGGAAACACTGAGCATCACTTGTTGCCAACTTAACTTCTGTGACAAATCTTATCGCCCGAGCCAAGATCACAGCAGACTCACGGCCGATGCCAGATCTACATCCACGTCCGCGGAGGGACCACGGACGAATGTTTGGTCGCCAAGGACTGGCATGTGGTCGGTAGCAGAAAAAATGATGAAAATCCTGAGAAGGACTTTGTCCTTCAAAAACTGCAACTCTTAGTTTATGCCTGATGTTTTCTGCGCAAATGGAAACATGATGAAAAGGACTCTGACAGACGTGTTTCACACATGTACACTCGGCCCTGCTTCACATGTGGACGACTCCTTAGCGACTCTGATGTCGTGTTGGGTAGGTGAGCAAGTATGTGTTTGATGTTCTTGATAAAATATATATAATACACATTATATATATATTGTATATTATATATACATATATATACATGTGCATTGCAAATTATGTTTATTTCTCATATAGTGTTATATATGTAACAATGCATAAACTATATTTACACAGACACACGCTTAGATCATCCCCCGACAATTGTATCCCAACAATTGTATGTTAATGTATGTTATTGTCGGTGCCTTGAATACCTCAAGCGGGGGTGGAAAAAGGTTGAAGGGTCAACAACGGGTTGGCTTTCTCATTTCCCACAGACTCCTCCGCCGTGTCAGAACGCACGATCGGGTTGACGCCACATTCGGTTACACACTCTGGAATCACGGAAGTGGAAAACCATGAGAAACCCACCACGACTCGGATCTCATCATTCGTCATCCTTTGGGGGCCGTGCCATCCACAGGGAGGACATGGGGACAGCTGACGATTTCGTGTCCTGTGTAGGACATGGGAGGGGTGATCCTAGTAGTACGTTTTAGAACCCCGACGACGACCACGACGACGATAAGGTGTTTACATAGCTGCCTATCCCGACGGATCTCGCTGGTAGTCTCTCGACGCACCAGCGCTTGCAGCCCACCTTCCATCCTCCAGTGTAGTGAAACAACTCGTGGTCAGGACTTAAGCCATGGCACATGGCGGCCCACAGGGAATCATGCATGAAAGTCCAAGGTGACACGATGGTGCAAGTTAGAGAGAAAAAACCTTGTGAGCAACAGGCAGGAGTGGGTGCATCTGTTTAGTTCACTAGCCATACCATCATGAGTACAAGTGTCTACTAGGCCTATTCTGTCTGAGCTAGGACTGTCTTGTTGGGTGATACCAGCGGGTGAAACACGACCGTGTTCTATTGGTCGTTCTGGCTGCGTCCGCGGCCTCGCCCTCGACCCTTTCCATCTTTGCCCTTACCCTCACCTTTGTTGCCTTTTCCTCGTTTGCGTTCCAATTCCTCGGGGGTTTTGCTCACGAAAAGGTTCGGGATCTCGGTGTTTCCGGCCTCTCGACGTGTTTTGACCAGTCGATTGATGAACTGTCCAAGAGGTCCCTGCAAACAATTTTGGATACGAAGCGCGTTCTCTCCGAAGGTCAGGCGGGCAACAAAATGCTTGGGTGTCCTATTCCACTGTCCCGTGTTAGCATCCCTGGTATTCCTTGGCCGATTCGGGAAAATAAATCGCACAGCTGTTTCTAGCGTCCCTACCAACAGCCACCAATGGGCAATGACGTCCAGGGGTATGGTCTTGGTCTCCTCGTTCAACTGGCGCCAGTCCGCCGGCAATTGAGGGGGCAGGGCCAGGGGGAACGGTAGTTTGGTGAGTTCACTCAATTCCTGCAGGACAGCCTTGCTGGCGTCTTTAGCTAATGTGCTGAATTGGCGAGACTGCGTGGCAGTCACATATAATGCCTCAACTTGAGCGCTACGCTCGATGACTAGAAGCGTAGCCTTTTCGATCCTGTCCTGTCTGCGTTTCAACGATGTGATTTCTGTTCCTTGCTTCTCTTGTTCCTTTTCAATGGCGTCGATTCTGCGCTCTACAGTCTGTATACAGTCTGTAGTTTTCTAGTTCTCTCCGCGGCCGCCATTTCGGCGGGGGTCACCACGAATGTGGTCTGTGCTGTAAGCCAAAGTGATGCGGAAACATGGAGATGACCTCTGCAGAAGTGGGCGCTGTAAAAAAAAGGGATCAACATGGAGGAAACCAAGAGAAACAGGGTTGAGATCTGGTCTTGCCTGGGACATGCCCAGGCGCGCCCCCCCGAGCATGTGAACGGAACATGTTCCGACCACTACTACCGGGTCGTGCCCGGGATGGGGAGCGGTGAGTTAAGGAGAAAATATATAATCCTCAACCTAATGTTACTTATTAACCGCGGCAGCGAGCTTCGTGGTTTTTTCGAGCTTGTACGGAACCTAGAAGGGTGTTACAGGTTTGGCAGCGGCGATTAGCGTCCCCGGGTCCGCGGCACGTTGCTTCATGGCGGGCGACGTTTGGGGCAGCCATTTGTTGGTGACAATGTCGGCAGGCTACGAGTGGGTGTGGTTTGGGGCCTCGTTTGGGCGCCGGTCGTACTGGGCAGATATCTTGACGACGCTTCTTCTCGTTTCGCCAACTCTGGTGGCAGTGTTCGCACTCATCACCGTGATGACTTCGGCCTGATCAACCGCGTGGTCGGCCTCGTAGTGGTAGGTGAGTTGGTTAGATTTACCGAACTGCGCCGCGCAAACTGTGGGCAGTGGAATTGACCTGTGACTGGATCACGGCGGAGGAAACGATCCCGAGGGCGGTGAGTGCGGCGAAACTGCAACTGGACTCCTTGTGGGGCTCCCATGGAGAGGCGCCAGCGATTGAGCGTGGCAACGTGTTGAGGGTCTACACAGCCAGAACAGACTTTGACGGGCTATGGTGGTTGCAAAAGGTTCCCGTCGACCCCCAACGACGCACGTTCCAGGTGCCGATACGCCAGATCTGTCTGGGGGGTTTGCGGGGTGAGGGATTTGAGGCCCGTCTACGGAGTCTGAAAAGTGCTAACCTGCGAGATCTCCGTTTGCGGAACCACGTTTTCCGTTTCATCCCGTCGACAAATACCGATCAAGTGGAAAGTCCTTGAACCTAAAAAATCACATGTTGTGTGGTAGGATGGAGCCTCTGGGGTGTTACTGACGCTTAAGTCAGTCGCCAAACCGATATGAAGGGAGCCAGATTCTTCGCCGGACCGCCCTTCCAACGGTCCGGCGCGGTGGCCGGGCAGGGACTTTCAGGGGAAACCATCCAGCCCCCAACACCCTTAGACACAACGTCATGACCAGGGTGCGTGAACAGGTTCAGAGACGTGGGGCGCACCACAAGAGCGGGAGTCCCCGTCCTCCTGTTTCGATCCGCCTTCCTGTGGTACTTTACCTAAGAGGACGCCACCTAGGGCGTGGGGTTGGTGGAGCCTGATTGGAGAGACTCAGTATTGCTTGTGTGCCGCAATCAATTTTGCCGCATCTGGGTCTTTGCGTTCAGCTAGCTGCGTGAAACCCTACTTGCAGCCTAGCCCCTCCGCTGGCCACCGCGAGGAGGTGTCTCCCGTAGGCCTTTTTTTTTAGAACTCCCCTATATACTCCGGTGTAATCCCCCCAAAAAGAATCGATGAGGTGCCCGAACATGAGACATGACCAACCCCGCCCCAACCCCGACCCAACCAAGCTGTCCCCAAACCCCGACTTGACCGCGGGGCGCCTGCAAAGTAGGGCTTCGGCGCGCCGACCTTCGCAAAGGCAATCGCCTCCGGCGCACGGACCGGGCCGTCCGGGCCGGGACCGTGGTCCAGGGTGCCCCGTGAAGGCTGAGGTCCAGTGGTGGGAGGATGCAAAACCACGCCAAGTGGATGGTTTTAGTGACCTGATCGTCGCAGTCAGGGCCATCTCAAAACGACCTCTCTTTTAGCAGTGAAAATGGATCGTTTCTGTTGCTAAACTCCTTGCAATATCTTGCAATCACGTCCTTTCGACGCAGTCAGGGATGAAAAAGGAAAAACTATAAACAAAAACGTCTCCTTCAACGGACCCCTAAGGCAAGAGGCCTTGCCTTCCGCTTCCCCCCCTTCGCGACCCGGCCCACCTTCGCGGACGATTCACAGCTGTCGAAGGTGAGGAGAGCGCCTGACGTCGTCGCCGTTCCCCTTTGGTCGGCAGGTTGGACGGAGGCTCCGGTCGCGTCGACGGAGAGGAGCCGCCCGCAGGACACCGTCGCAACGACCGCCGAGTCGGCCTCGACCGAGACTGTGGACGACGATCCTTTTGGGCGAAAACCAACGGCAGACCGAGACCGAGACCTTCTTTTGGTGAATTCAGATCCCCCGTCATTGTTGGGTAGGGTGTCCATCCAGGCATTTCATAGAGCATCAATTACCCGGGATGAATTAAGGTGTTTTTCGGTCACCCACTGATGTCCAGCAAAGCGCCTCTCTCACCGTCTGCTTCAAAGGGCAGGGTCAGCCTTAGTGAACGACGGAGGTCCCGCGCTCGACCAGGCTCTCTGCCCCAGGACGTAAGGACTTCTCACCCAGTTCCAAAGCGCTCATTCTCCACTCAATGGATTGCTGGATGGGTCCCAAAAAAGTGGCATTCCTTTGCTCGCCTGCAGGAGTCTAAACCTGCGCTGTGCTCGCTGATTTCAGCATCCCTTCGCTCGCGTTGAGAGAGGCCTTTGGCGTCGCGCTATGAGTATGAGAACGGGTGCTCCACAGCATTCTGCGAGGTTTATATAACAGAATGAACCCAAGTATATATACAGTGGTTTCAGAGTAGATGGCACAATCACCAAGAGGTGGTTTATGTGGACCCCCATCTAAAAGACATGTAGGGGTGCCAGTGCCATCTACTCTGCAACCACTGTAATATTACATACTTGCCCCTTAGTTGATCTTGGTTAATAGGGTGTGGTTACCAGGTTGCCCATCAACTCCCATCAGCGCAGGAAACCACACCAACCATAAAACCTCTATGGGGCATCTGGAGCTCCTGGGACCCTTCCTGGGACCCTGACTCAAAGACTCAAAGCACTCAACCTCAACCAACCAACCACCCAACCACCCATCCCTTCTTCTGAGCCTTCGCACTCCACAACTTGCCCAAACTTCTGGAAGTACTGCCGCGCTTCCACGCTCGTCCAGTCCTCCCAGCGACCGGCGGGTACGCTTTGAGTCGAGGAACTGGGTCCACCGACCAGGTGGACCCCATGCGGAGTCCCAACCACCGTCCCGTGGGTCCATTCCTCGATTCGAAGCTTCCAGGAAATCCGGATCATTCGCTGTTTGGGGCCCCAAGGAGTGGATCAGGCCCCCGGCGCTGCCCCCTTTTTGGTCCAGGCACCCCCCCTATCCTCCAAAGTTGCTGGGTTCGTTCCTCCCACAATGCTGGGTCTGGGGATGTTCTCCGCTGGTCGTGCGGCGCCTCAGGGACTTTCTGCAAGAAGACCATCTTCGTCGTCTCCTCGTCCCCTGCTGTGTTGAGACGAGGAGTCGGCGGCGCCCGGTCCAGACGACCGGAAGAGGGTCACCGGTTGGTTCATGGTCCGTTGATTCATGGGGTTATGGGGTGGGCTTGAGGATGTTTAAGGACATATCCGGGAAAGTCCACAGAAAGCCATGGTCTATTCCAAAAAAAAAGAAACGCACACATGGGTGTCCTGTAGACCTCCACGATCTCGACCGGTCACCCGCCGCGATCCGAAGCTCTTGACCCAAAGCAGCAAAGAAGTAAAAAGCAAAGCTGGTCACTATAGCCCTAGAAGTCCAGTTCGACTATTCTATTGACCGGCTGAAGTAAAGGAAGTTCCCTAACTCAGGTCCCCTAGTCAGACCATTCTTTTTTTAGTCTTTGACTCCCAGGGTATAGTAAGAGTCTTCATCTTGAACCCCTGGGCAAATCAACCTTCTTGAACCGTCTTGAACCAAAGATCTCCGTCCGCGCGATCATCCGCCGCTGGAACCGTCGCACGGTCGACTTGCTTCTCCGCCTCGCCTTCGCCTTCGTCTGGGCGCGTCCTGAGGGCGGACGCGAGGCCGAGGCCGTCGTTCGGCGCCAAATTCGGCGCGTGGAGCTCTTTCGGGAGCTCCGAGCCATGTTCGGTAGGGAAGGTCAGACTGACCGTCTTACTGAAGTCTTACTGGTCTTCATGGGAAGTCATACCACTATAGTCTTATTTACAAAGTCTAGACCCGTCTTAATTGCTCGAACCAAGATGACATAGCAAGACCGACATCCCACCGACCCACCACTAGTCTAGTCCCGTGCCTCTGCTCCTCCATGACCGACAGCCGCAAGGCCTGCGTCCGAACCGCACGTGCGGCGGTGGTTCGCAGCAGCCGGGCCGATCTGACAAGGTCCAAAAAGAAGGAACAAAAGGGAGACAAAAATTGGAGGATCAAGGATACCTGACAATGGACGCATCTTTTATTAAATGAGTTCAAATGTGTGTTTAATTTGTAATATATATTATATATATATATATATAGTAGGTTCAGTTCAATGAGAGTGTTGCATGTTGTGAGCTTTGTTCCACGTATGCTTGTTCAGTTGCTAGCCCGATTGGCTTATTTGATGCGCTTAAAGCGTGGCAACCTCAAAGCCGTGTTGAAGCATGTTGAAGCCAAACTTCGACAACTAAACACGGATTACGAGCAGGGGAGCCAAGAAGAGCATGGGTAGCGAAAACACGAACACGCCGCCCAGTGGCAGCTTCCCAACGCCAATAAGAAGCACTTCCAGCACCTACCTACTACCCGACGTACCGAGCTAGTGCGTACCTTTCGCCCAGTGCACTGCGTCACACCCGGAGGGTCGACAGCCACACCGACTCGGCCGTGCGAAGACCGAAGGGCCGGGTGTCAGGCCAAGCGCTCGATGGTGGAAAAGGCTGCGAAGGCCTTTCTTTCGCTGTGTGGACGCAAAAATCGGTGAAAGAACACTGCCCGAAGTAGAGTAAAAGCATCCAACTTGATGAAATTCAAGAGCCCTGGCAGGAGAAAGTCGGTCGGAGGCTTGTTTGAATTGCAGAAAGAGGGCTGTGCAAGTCCACAGGGCGCGATCAGTGCCGATGGCCTGCATGCCTGCAGGACCATGGCACACTGGTGTGACTTTGGCTTTGAGCTCATTTTGGCTGCCCGACTGGGTGGAGGATCTGCATCAAGAATCATCCTTGGCTGCCATACATATCTCACCCTGCCACCCCACTGGTTTCGACCTGACTCATCCAGCCACGCCTCAAACATCCAAACTTGTTCTCCCAAACTGGTCAATGTGGTGGCTGCTTGCTGGCTTGGTGTTGAAGTGCCAAAGATGCTTGGAACACCACATTGGTGAAGATCTACATCCAAACTGGGAGACAACAGTCGCCCAACTGCTTTCACAGTTCTGCATAGGTTCGGATCCTGGAAGCGCCGACGCAGAGTCCCAGCCTCTCCGTTCAGGACGATGCTGGCCTTTGCACATGCTGCGGCCGCCTGTGCAGGAGGCCACTCTTGGATGAGGATGTTTTGCTCAGATCTGAGACCCAAAAGAAGGAAGCTAGGCTTGAAACCTTATATATAAACTATAGACCCCCAAATAGATAGAGAAGCAAAATCCCTTTCAAGAGCATTGGAAACCGTTTCTATCTAGTTGGGGACCACAATAATTTATAACAACGGGATTTCACGGAATAAGAGACCCTCCAAGAATGAGGGGTCTGGAAAGACTATCACAGCTATGGGAATCAAACCACTTTATAGATGACTGGTGGAAACTGGTGTTTGTCTTGTACGACCCGTACCATGGGTGTCTTCCCGATTTCAAGCCGCCCATTCGGAAGGTAGGAAATGACCTTCCGGGCCCCCCTTTGTTCCCAGTCCTATGGCTGGTTCGTGGCACAACTCCTGTGGGTCGTGCGGAGACCGAACTTTCTGTTCATCTTTTCAAGATCTAGGGGCCAGCTTCTACGGCATCTACTGCCACCAACAAGCATGGCTTGATGGGTTCTCTTTCCAAAAAAACAAAAACAAATGCACATTAAACATATATATATATAACATAAACATATTCTGTATATGAATCCCTCCCTCTGTTCGTTGGGCGGGTCCGAAACGCTTGGATGTGGCCGGGTCCACGGAAACCGCCCTCTCCGACCGGACCCCCCCGCAGAGCCGGACAGGCCGAAGGTCACTTCGCACCGGCCTCGGGCGGCTTCGTTGAGCACGGTCCCTTCGCACCCTCCGAACACTCGGCCGATGGTTGACAGGAGTCGGCCTGACCTCTTCAGATGATTGGAATTCTGTGCTTGGGATCATTGCAGTGTTTTTGTTGCTTCTGGTTCACTTTTCCTTGCCCTGGCGGCTTACTTTACCGGTTTCTAGATTTGGGTGTCCAATTGGTGTTCCTATGTTTGACCAATTTGCTTCCTATATAGTGTTCTTTTTTTTGGTCATGGGGTTTCCTATGTGTTTCATATTTCAATAATACTAGTTCTATTGTGTCGAATTTTCCATTACCAAGCTTCATTCAGCTCATCATAGGGCTGGGACATCTCCGAAGTCCCATGTCAGATTTAGACCTGCACAAGATTCCTGCATCTTCCTGCCATACATCACCGGAACAGAACACGAGATCACTTGAAGGGCTGCAGTCGAAAAGACTCCTCGAAGCGTCCATACACGCCCGGAACCCGTTTCCCAGGATTTCCTTGCTCGGAGACAAATTCCAAGTTGCTCGTTCTGCCCTCCACATCGACGTCGAAGTCCACCAACACAAGGGGTCACCACGGGGGAAAAAGATAAAGGAACACATCCCCCCCTAGGAAGGGGGGTTTCCCCATCGGGAAAATGCAGAATCAACCTAGCTGAGCCGGGCCCCCCCAACCCACCCACGGTGGATCCGCCCCGCTGCGGCCGTCCGTCGCGGGGCCGACGCCCTTGGGCTTCCACCGTCGCCCGTGAAGGTCATCTGCACACCGGACGGCCCAAACCGATTCGGAGCGGTGCAATGATGCCGTGCAGCCCACACGATGCCACGGTGAAACGCCGATCGAAAGCCTTTCACCGTGGCCTTAAAGACCTTAGGGAGTCGACTCCTTGCTGACATGTTGGGCCCAAAGCCTAGTAAATGCAATGCATAGGGCATAGGGAACTCAAGAAGGGAACATGACAATATAGAATAGGAAGCACATGGCCAAAATCAACCTACTCAAACAGCAAGCCAACCCACACCATGTTGCTTTTGCTCCAAAAATTGCATATCAATCTCACAATCACCAAGAAAACTGGTAAGCCATGCCGAGTTTGGTGTGATGTCAACGGCTCAGCTTCAAAGGCAACAGGGAAACTATGGGAAACTCCTCTGGTCCCGCAGTTGCGGCTTTTTTTCCACTTCGAAGCCGCAACACCGGGCCGTGGCCTCCACCGACACCCGGAGCACCCGCAGTTCCGCGGATCGGTGGCCTCCTTCACCGCGCCGAAGCACTCCAAGTGCTCTCGGAGCTCCTCCTCCCAAACAGCTGGGAACGGTAGAGAACGTGTGGAAAGAAACGGGAGAAGCTCGGTGATCTCCGAGGAAGGAAAGCCCAATGGGTGTGGGTGGGTGCTAGGTATTGTTGTAGTCACTGTGCATTGGAATGAAATCTTGAAATGTCTTGAAACATGATGTTAGTTTGTCCATGTCGATGTCCAAACATCCTGAAACATCGTGTTCCCGCTGTCCAAACGGATGGGCCAAAATCCTCGTCACAGTTGGCCCGCCTTGAGGGTCTGTGCCACGCCCTCCACCAGCAGCCGGGACTTGGAGGGGGCCCAGGTGCGCTGGGAATGATGGGAGGTGCTAGCTTGATTGGGTTTGCTGGTGTTTCTCATGGGATCTTTGAGAAGCAGGCTCATGATCAAACATCATATGCATGGTCATTTAGTGTATTTAGATGAGTGATTGAAGTTGCAACACGGGAGCATCACATGATACACGTTTCACATCCTTCGTCGCACAAAAAGCACCGCCTCCTTCACCCACAATTCGGGGCTCTTACGATCCACGGCACGGCGTCCAGGCCCCCGCGCGGTCTCTGTCCGCCCGCCTGACAGGGAAGGGACGCCAAAAGAAATAGGATGGAGATAGGGTGGAGGCCATCGCTCTTAGTTAGATATGTACCATTTTCGCTCCCCATCCTGCACCCCATCTGACGCGCCTGCGGCGCCTGCACCTTTGACCTGACCACTGCAACCCAGCGAGCGAAAGTAGACATCAAGACCCCCAGTCGGGAGGCGGTAGTGACGACCCATTGGGCAGGACAAAGAAATGAAGCGAAGGACTAAAGACTCGTCTCAGACTTAACGTCGGACCATCCCAGTACATGGACACCTAACACATGGCTGACACTCGACACTGGCCAGGCGAAGCAGCATTGGGCATTTATTGGGCAGAGTTATGAATCACATATTACCCCATATCCCAAACACTCCAAACACTCCATGTATGGCATATTTACCTACATTGATGTACGTAAGTATGCCATACATGGAGTGTCTGTGTATTTAACAGCCATTGGTCCAGCCGGCGTCACCGGGTTGCGAGCGGCAGAAGAGTTCGGTGGAAACCATTGACCGAGGACAGGAGCATGAGTCATCATTCAACGTTGGTCATGTCTGCTGTCTGCTTCAGGAATAAAACGAAACTAGGTCAACCAGTTTGCAGCAAGGAGAAAACATGAGAAAACCTTCAACATCTAAGGTGCCCCCTCGCTCACAAACCACCTAGAAGAATTACACACACACCAAAAGAAGAGACACCCTGCTCGACTCCATGGATCCTCGCCTGGCAATCGATCCACCGGTTCTTAAACCTGGGAGGTCCCCCATCCCCGCGAGCCACATGAAACCTCCGAGGAGGGACGATGAAACCTCGGAGGGGACGATGGTTTGGGTGACCATGGGGCCATGGGGGTGTTCCCACCATGACCGGAACAAAAAGAAGTCTCACTGACCTGTGAGACGTCTCATTCAGTTCCTCCTATTCAGAAGAACACGGGGAGAGCCGTGTTTTTCCGTTCACGGTGGAAGACATCTCCCAGCCTGTCGGCCCGCCGACTGGGCTTTGGCGTGAAAAAAGAAACACACGACTCGCAGCGGGGGCGCGGTGCTGAAGAGTCATTTCTTGTTGGGCATGGTTGCCGTGCTTCTTGTTTTGGGGTGGGATTTGCCGCCATGTCAATGCCAACATGTCACACGAATTGTTGTGGTAAGCTCCATATAACTCAGTCATATACAAGCAACTTCCTTAGATGGTTAGTGCCAGTGCCCTCTTCACTTCAAGAACTTCATGAGATTCCATCGTTGACAAGTGGAAACAGGAACCACCGTCCCACCCCTCGAATCTGCATGCCGAAACGTCTTGCGGTCACCCACATCAATGTTTTTGGGCCTACACACTGCCACATGTACAGAAAGACCGGGCAAAAAAAGATTCCCCACTCACATCAACGTTGAAGGGTTTAAGTGGAACCCAAGAAAACACATGATGGGACATCATGGGGATGGTGCGCCGCGGGGTGGTCGGAAGCGCAGGTCCCACTCTGAGTCTTGCAGGCCAATTGTTGTCGTAGTTCTGCAGCACAGCCCTGTGGTGACTGCGAAGCGCGGTGAAGTCGAAGCACCCTTCCCAAAGCAACAACGCCGCCAGCAACGGATCCGAACCGGGGGCCAGTCCTTCAGCTTCTAGATTCGATTCTATAGGGTGTCAGTTTAGAGGGGCCATTGCAGGGAATCCCTTCATCTCAGGCTTCCCCGTCTGTTTCGCACTCTTAAGCCGATCTGATCTGATGAGAACCAAGGTTCTCAGGGCCAAAACCTCCAAAGTGGTCACAGCCCGTCGAAGACTGGAACAAGTTCCAGAACCAGCAACGTCCAACAGCTCTTCTCCGGAGCTGTTGGTGATTGTTCGTGGGTGTGTGCGCGTCGTGGGACGCTGTGAATCAACGCCCCCAAAAGGCCTTGAAGAATGACAAAAAAGCCCTTCATGAACCACTCCCGAATGGGACACACTTGCAGATGGTGCTAAGTTCTCTCCCACAATTCAAGGACATGGAAAACTGAAAACAGAACGGAAGAGGAAATGCACGGAGCAAAGCGCGCCATCACTTTGCCCAGTTTGGGGTGACCAGCGACTAAAACGGCCTATATTTCCTGGTGTGTTTAATAAAGCCATGTAGCGAACGACCGGTCCACCAGGTAGGTCCACCGGCCACCAACCACTGCCGCCGTAGCACCGCACGGTCACCGGGCGCCTCGCAGCCTCCAGGTCCTCAAAGCTCACGAAGCCGTACCCGCCTCTGAGCGGTTCCGGCCGGGGCAGGGCCGGAGGGAGAAAACTCGGGTCCGGGGGGAGGTCTCACCAACCAGTCCCACATGGTCCGCACCGGCGCGGAAGCAGGCGCGGAAGCAGGTTCCTGGTGATTGTCGATCATTGTTGAAATGATCAAACCGAAGCTGGCAAACCTTCTCAATCTGCGGCCGGCGCCAGGATGCAACACGACGTCGCAAAACCAACGCAGTCTGCTCATGAGGCTCACACGGAACGCCCCAGTGTCCGGGTGGTAGATCAAAGCAAGGTCCTCAAAACTCGGTTTGGATGAGCACACTGCCCTACCCCAGGCGAAACAGATTTCGGGCGATGTCTGCATTGAGGGCTGCCTTGGAATGGTCCAAAACTCTAGAAGTTCAAGCCCTCATCAGCAACTGGAGCAGCAGCAGAAGCAGGAGGCTGTCCAAATAGATATATACAAAAAAAGGTTTCAGCCCAAAAAGAAAAATGAAACACCCATCCCTCTGCCAGGCCCCCCAAAAAAGTATAGTTCTTAGATGTTCTTAGATGTTCCTCACCCATTCGTCACCGGAAGCTCGACCAGTTGCAGGCTCCGAACTGTGTGGCAAAAAAAACGGTGTCTTCCCTGTGCCAAACCAACCGACTCCACAGCGACTCCATGCCAATGTTCGATCTAAGGACGTCGATCCCCGTCCTTCACCGTGCCGAAGGACTCGAAATACTCCCGAAGCTCGTCTTCCGTGGTGGCTGCCAGAACGTGAGGACGGGCGCCGCAGGACACCGGAGAGCTGACCGACGTCTACTTTGGTGGCTTTTGGGCTTCACCGTGAGGCGTCAGCCTGAGTGTCTTGGGCTTCATTCCAAATTACACCGGCATAGACCCCAGATTGCGGGTGTATAGGTTTGTCACCCCTGGCACGACATGATGTCACCCCTGGCCATGACCTGATGTCATTTTGGGCATGACATGATGTCATCCCTTGCAAGGCATGATGTCATCCCTGGACATCACCAGCACCAGCACGGCAGCAGCAACCGCAAAAATAAACGCCGATCCAGAGCCAGCGCCTGCACCAGCACGGCAGCAGCACCAGCAAAACTAAAGGCCGACCCAGCACCAGCACCAGCACAGCAGCAGCCTGCACTTGCACCAGCATCAGCACGGCAGCAGCACCCGCAAAACCAAAACGCAGATCCAGGAGCCACACCATTGAGAAGTTAGAACCCCTATAGTATAGGCCCTATAGCCTGCAGCTATCTGGGGAACAATGTGTTGTCATTCCATGTCAAATCAACATGCGAAAACTTCCAAAAGGCACCGCTCGTAATTCGCTGACTGACCTGGGGGGGAGTCAGCTATGAGAATCGAATGTGTCACGTACCGCGTGACTGACGATCGCCTTCTCTTCGACTCACCCATTGGAAGAGCGACCGCACACCGCCCGAGCAACCGCACATCGCGGACCCCGGTGCCGCCGCCGCACCGGCGCGGACCGAAAGACATTTCGCTCTTGGGTTGAGCGGCTCACAGGGGTGGTGGAAGTCGGTCCAAAATGAGAATGGCCGGCATTGATCAAGCAGAGTTATATAGTGGTGCAAGGATATGCGGCTATTGGTTTCCACTATCATGAATTTATATATATATATATGCTTTTGTGTGCTTTTGATGTTGATTGCTTCAGACGCTGTCTCAGAATCAGAGCCCCTAGTAGCGTCCTTGCTCCTAGTAGCGATGCCAGGACCCCCTAGTAGCGTCCTTTATCGTGCTGGCGGACAACGGGCACCACCACGTCGGCGCACCTTGAGGTAGTCGTCGCACGAAGAGCTTTGGCTCCGTGAGCTCTGCTAGGCCTGAGCAGAGTCGATGAGCAGAGTCTGGCTATTCCGTTGACCAGTGAATTCCAAGCGAGTTATAATGTGCACTGGATGGAAATAGGTCTTCGACCCAATGTTTTTTTCATGGGTCTTCTACATGGTTACGTGTGAAAACAAACCAACCGCCACCCACATCAAAAATTGTTGGAAGCAAAACACAGTAATCCGAAAAAGAAAAGAAAGGACCCAAATTCAGCACGTCTCAAAAATAATACATGACTCCTCCATACCCATCCACTCAACGGAATAAAAAACACACATACACCCCAAAACGATCTAAAATGCCGGCGTCTACAGCTCTTTCGCGAACTTCACCCAGGACTTCACCCGTTTTCACGGGCTCCAGGAGCTCAATGAGCACAATCCGAGCTGGGCGTACCTTCTTTGGGCCGCGCTGACTCCTCCCTGCCCTTTCCACCTCAGCACGTCGGGCACAAGTGTCTGGTGCTCCAAAAGCTGCCTTCCACTGAAAGCTTGCTGGGATGTGAAACACCTGCCCTGCCAGCCCAGAGGTCGCCAGGCCCCCCGACCCCGCGGAGGCCAGCGCCTCCGTGCGGAGTTCGTATGGTCTTGCGGGCCTGCGTGGTGAAAAGGCCGCACATCTGACTCCTCCCGCAGTTGGGTCTAGTATAGCAATGCCCTTGTGACTAGCGATGCACTTGCTAGTAACTTCTTGCTACTAAGTAGCACGAAACGAAGATATTCATCCAGATTCTATATGACACAACTCACAGGTCAGCTCCCACAAGTCCCGCGAGTCCGTTCGACCGGACGAACGAATGTCCCAGGTCGTGAGATGAAGGCCACCGTGTCAGATCGTTGTGTTCATATTATGCAGTATAATATATATATATATATAACACAAGTTGGTGGATTCGAAATCTACCATGGTCGCTTTTGCGTAGACAGTAGATCACTGAGCAAGAACGAGTACCCCAAAGCGTGCTGGGTGCACTCGCGCTGAATCAACCTCTGTTGAGTTCTGAGTTATGATAGTTGAACCAGTGACCTTTGAGTGAATCCGAAGCTTGCTAAAGCTCACCAACAAACAAGGCAAGATGTTGATATTCCTTCGAAGGCCGGCGTCCGTTGCGGCGGTTGCGGCGTCCGCCTTCTCTGGGCCGGTGAGGTTCTCCTTTGCTCTGTCCTATCACGTTGCTTTTGCCGCCTGGACACACATCAGGCATCAAATATCATGAGGTTAGTGCAGGTGAGTTTGTATCCATGAAAAATAATTGTAAATTTGAATTGCCCTGGTGAGACTCTAGTGAACAATCACAAAGGCAGTATCAGTATGATTCAGTGTGGATGCATTGATTATTGCAAGTGTCGGACATTTGTGGGCGGCCGCTAGCAACAAAGTAGCATAGTGCGGCAGTTTCCTTTAATAATCCCTTCCGCCTATTAAGAACCCGCAAGCCCCTCCCAATAAAGAAACTTCTGTCAAGCGCTTTTGTTAGGGGGTGCCCAAAATAGGGGGTCCCTAAAGATTGGAAACTGAGAAGAGTTTCCAAACCAACACTGGCAAATGGTAATGATAAAATCGTGTCAAAATGTTAAACACCTCAGAATCAAAAGGTCTTCCTGTTTTTGTTGCGAGTCTTGATTAAAACACTGAGTCACTCATTCTTCGATCGATATGTTTCGCTTGTAACAGGAGACAAGGTGTGGAAATGCAACGCGTCACTGGTGAGCGGCGTGTTGATTCTAGTGGGCATAGTCACTAAGTCACTAATTTGCCTTGGTGAAGAGTATAGAGGCGGCAATTTAAAAAAGCAACCTACAATTTGGGGATTCCGGCATGAGCTTTGTTTAACTGCTGGCTCATTGTCCTTGTTTATGGGTATACTCGGGAACAACCGTGGAGGCCAAAGGATCCTGAAGAATGCTGAGAAGCCTGGGGCATGAAAAGCCACCCGCACCCACTGCAGAGGCTCCTTGGGCCTTCTTGATTTACATCTGCCTTCCAACAGGCACCCTGGCGCCCTCATCCAACCCCGGTCCGGGATGGGCCTCCCGATGCCCAGCCTTGCTCGGGAAGTTCCGACTTCGGTTTTCCTGAGCCTGGGCTCAGGAGTGAAAGAGATGTGAGGAAATCGGTGCCTTTTTGGCTGTGCAAATCAAAGCATTGCAAATTTCATGAAGGCTTGACCCACCTCCCCCCCACTCCCCAAAAGATGATTCAATACCCGAGGTCATGGGTATTGAAAAGAACCCCCAATTTGAAGTCTCCACCCAACGGAACCCTTGATGCCAACTCACTTCTGCTTCAACTCGAACACCCTTTTCGTCAGACCCTTTCAACCTTTGCTTTGTCCCCTCGCCTTCTTCGAAGCCCCATTGTTCTTCTTGACTGGCCCAGTTGCCTTCGCTTGTGCCTTGGCCTGAAACGGGAGTGAAGGCTC